AGGTCATGATCCTGGAGTCCCAGGATCGAGTCCCGCATCGGGCTCCCTGCTCAGCGGGGAGTCTGCTTCTCCCTCTGCCCCTCCCCCCTCTCATGCTCTGTCTCTCATTCTCTCTCTCTCAAATATATAAATAAAATCTTTTAAAAAAAAAACAAAACAAAAAAACCCACACATTTAATACAGATAATACTATAACACAACTACATAATTACTGTCTAACTAAAGAATCCAAGGGAGACCCCCAACTCACTTGGAGCAGCTGTGCATTCTCCGTCATGATTCCTCTTAGGGGATGCTCCAGGACGATCATACTGAGAAGACAAAACAAGTGATTAAGTTAATGAAAAGTTGAAAAGTTAGTACAGTTGACCCCTGAACAACATGAGGGTTAGGGGTGCCAATGCCCTGCACAGTTGAAAATCTGCATATAACTTCTGACTCCTCCAAAACCTTAATAGCCTGCTGTTGTCTGGAAGCCTTGCCAAGAACATAAACTGTCATTAACTTATATTTTCATGTCATTTGTATTATATGCTGTATTCCCACAAATAAGGGAGGTAGAGAAAAGAACATGTTATTCAAAAAATCTTAAGGAAGAGAAATACATTTACATTTTTAAAGATTCCTTAAAAATTATTTATTTTTAAAATTTATTTATTTAGAGAGAGAACGTATGAATGGGGGCAGGGGCAGAGGGAGAAGGAGAGAGAGAATCTCAAGCAGACTCCTCTCTGAGCCCGACTCGGGGCTTGATCCCATGACCCTGAGATCATGACCTGAGCTGAAATCAAGAGGCCGGCGCCTGACCGAGCCACCCAGGCACCCCTACATTACTGCATTTATTGAAAACAACCATGTATAAGTGGACCTGCGCAGTTCAAACTCGTGTTGCTCAAGAGTCAGCTGTATCTTATTTTGATATCACTAACTGTGATCCAGAGCTTTCATGCTTAAATTCTCTCCACATAAATTATGTTTATTTCAACTAGCATGGCTCTTCTTACAAAGGTACTGTAACTATCAAAGGAATGGAGTCGTTTGCCAAGTTGGCCCACTTTGCTCTAACATGTTATTGGGTCTACGGCCGTGGACTTAACCTCCAATTAAACTACTTGACTTTCCTTGGTTCCAGAGTTATATTCTCTACCCCAGACCCTGGGAAACAGCCTAGTGCATGCAGGAATGATATACAACACGAGAAGTTGCACACATATGACCCCATCAGCATCTTTTTTAAGTGCACAGCCTTTAAAATGGTAATTGTAGACTGAATTAACAAAAATGAATGAAATAGGGGCGCCTGGGTGGCTCAGTTGGTTAAGCAACTGCCTTTGGCTCAGGTCATGATCCTGGAGTCCTGGGATCGAGTCCCGCATGGGACTCCCTGCTCAGCGGGGAGTCTGCTTCTCCCTCTGATCCTCCCCCCTCTCATGCGCTCTCTCTCTGTCTCATTCTCTCTCTCAAATAAATAAAATCTTTAGAAAAAAAAAATGAATGAAATAAAAGTAGCTGCCATTTACTGAGCACTTTTTGCAAGCCAGGCACTGTCACTGTTCTAAGTACTCTATGAATTACCTCATTTAGTACCCAAACAATCCTATAAGGTGGACATTATCATCATCACCATCATCTCTATTTTATACAAGAGGATAACTCAGCAGCAAAAAATTAAGTAATTTGCTTGAAGTTAGGTCTAACTCAAAACCATATGCAATTCTTCTTCCTAGAATAATTCTAAATTTGAGAACCAAAGGGGTGGTAATATATAACAATGGAATTGCTGCAAAAATAGATGAAGTTCACAAATATCCCAGTAGAAATTTTAAACAAAACGAAGCAAAATGAGGCGATAGTTTCAAAAGGACCAAACCAAGTAAGTTAAATGATTCTTCCCAAACTGCAAGGTGGAAAGCTTTCATACCATTGCACCAGATGCTGGGTGTACAATCCATGCGTATTCTGGACGAATAAGTCGTAAACAGTTAACAGCAGCCAAATAACAGTTGCCTTGCTTCTCAAGTCCCCGCAGAGTTCGAACCTCTCTGCCAAGACGCATTCCATACTCAAACATCACAGTACCAGCTAGGAGGCAATAATAAATTAAACATCAGAACTTCAGAAATGTGTTTTAGAGGGGTTCCTGGCTGGCTCAGTCAGAACAGCATACGGCTTTTAAGTTTGAGCCCCATGTTGGGTGTAGATATTACTTAACTTAAAACAAAATTGAGTTTAACTTAAAACCACAAAAAATCATGTGTTGGTGAGGATGTGGAAGAACTGGAACCTCTGTACACTCCTGGTGGGAATGTAAATTGGTGTAGCTGCTATGGAAAACAGTATGGCAGTTCCTTAAAAAATTGAAAATGGGGTTACCTTGTGATCCAGCAATTTCACTTCTGGGCATATAGCCTGAAAATTGAAAGCAGGGTTTTGAGGAAATATTTGTGTGCCCTTGTTCACACAGCCATTACTCATGATAGCCAAGAGGAAGGCAATCCAAGTGTCCACTGATGGATGGATGAACAAAATGTGACATATACATATAATAGAGGAAGGAAGTTCTGACACATACTATAACATGGATGAACCTTGAAGATATTAGACTAAATGAAATAAGCCAGTCACAAAAAGACAAATACTTTAGGATTCCAGTAGCCAAATTCATAGAGACAGAAAGTAGAATGATGGTTGCCAGGGGCTGCAGGAGGCGGAAATGGGAAGTTGTTTAATGAGTATAGTGTTTCCATTTTGCAAGATGAAAAGTTCTGGACATTAGTTACACAGTAATGTGAATATACATAACACTACTGAATACTAAAAATTGGTTAAGTTAGTAGAGTTTATGTTATGTCTATTTTACTACAATTAAGAAAAAAAAGAAAAAAATCTGTAAATGTTACTTCTGACATTCATTCATTCATTTTAAAAGTGATCTCTATGCCCAACGTGGGGCGTGAACTCATGATCCTGAGATCAAGAGTCGTAAGCTCTACCAACTGAGCCAGCCAGGTGTCCCTACTTCTGACTTTTAGATACTACATTCCCAGATAGTACACAAGACTAGTTTAGAGTGCTAATTTCAGCCACATTTTTACCTAATTCCACCCAGCGAGACCAAGAAATATTTGGTTGCTCTGCTCAAGAATGGATTATCTTTATAATACTTTAGTCACACAAGCTGAATGAGATATTGAAAAACACCTTGTTCTGAGGTAGCATGAGACTCCAGAAACCAAAGAGCATTTAACATTTTTTTTTAAGATTTATTTATTTATTTGTTTGTTTGTTTCCCAGAGAGAGAGAGACAGAGAGAGAGGGAACACAAGCAGAGGGAGTGGGAGAGGGAGAAGCAAGCCTCCTGCTGAGCAGGGAGCCCGATGCGGGGGCTCGATCCCAGGACCCTGGTATCATGACCTGAGCCAAAGGCAGATGCTTAACGATTGAGCCACCCCCAGGCGCCCTGCGTTTAACATTTCTTTTAGTTTTCAAATGAAACTATTTTTCATTCCAACAGTTTTAAAATTCACATAATTTTATTTAAAATGAAACTAACTGACTTTAGCCCGCCAACAAATGTTTCTGAGTGCCTGCCATATTAAGACATTTTTTAGGATAACAAGTCTTGCTCCAGAAAGATCTGAACATGAATTCAGCTAGAGGGGTCTTTTTTTTTTTTTTTAAGGTTTTATTTATTTATTTGAGAGAGAGAAAGCGAGAGAACACAAGCAGGGGCAGAGGGAGAGGGAGAGAGGGAGAAGCAGACTCTCCACTGAGCGGGGAGCCCAATGTAGGGCTCGATCCCAGGACCCAGAGATCGTGACCTGAGCCGTAGGCAGACACTTTAACCGACTGAGCCACCCAGGGGTCCCCAGCTAAAGTGATCTTAACCAGGTTGATATAATGGATATTGTTATTGTAAAAGCAAACAGTGAGAGATCTTTAATCATCTACATGTCCCTGTCTGTATGAGTCAAGAATATAAGGAATATGCAAACATGTCTCACCACTAGGAAAATTAAGAGCATGTTTATGAATTACTTCCATCTATTCTTTCCAATGAAAATTAGCAAGAAACCTTATGAAAAGTTCTGAGGGGGAAAATGGTAAAAAATATTACCAGTTCTAAAGGAGAACCACAATGGTTATCTTGTAAAATGATCTTAAAACAGACATACAATCCCTTCTTAGCTGTTTTTTTTTCTGTCTCAAAGATTTTGCTTTTTTTCTTTTAAATCTTTTTGAGTATAGCTGACACACAATGCCACATTAGTTTCAGATGTACAACACAGCGATTCAACTTCTCTATTAGATGTACAACACAGCGATTCAACTTCTATGTTATGCTATGCTTACCACCATTTTAGCTGTTCTGATAAAGACTTCATTAGTCATCATATAAATCCAAACTAAGATATATTCTACAAAACAATTGGCCTGTACTCTTCAAAATATCAACTACATCAAGGTAAAGTAAGGCAAAAGAAGTGCTCCAGATTAAAGGAGACTAAAGAGACTAAAGAGACACGACAAATAAATGCAATGTGTGATTCTAGATCAGGGGATAAGGACAGTATGGGAGGAATGTGCTATTAAAAAAATCACGATAGCATTATATTTACATTTAATTAATGAAATTAGTTATTATTTCCTTAATCTGATAATTGTATTGAGGTTATCTAAGAAAATGTCCTTAGCAGATGCATCTTAAGCATTTATACATTGAAACATGACATCTACAACTTACTCTCAAAAGAATCAGCAAAAATAAGGGCAATAGCAAGCTGGCTCAGTAACTCAAAACCAGCCACAAGAATTCAAGGTGCCTTTAGTAAAAAAGTTAAAGTTTCTTTTAAAAGCAGACAGAAGATATAGATAGAATGACATCTCACTGGAAATGCCTCAAGAATGTTCTAGAAACTGCATGTCTTTAAGGCTAACAGGTAATCTTCAAAAGGGTGAAGCTAATCTTGTAATTAAACATAATTTCCCCAAATGCTTATAGAGAACACTCATTCAATGGTGAAAATAAGGTAAAAATTACATAAGTCAAACAGTATTTTTATAAAACATGATTAAACTGCTAAGATTGCCCCTAACAAAGACTGTTGGCTTCAACTGCTCACCCTTTCGGTAATTGTGGCGAAAGACGTGAAAGGCATAGAGGAGCTCATAGTAATTGTGAGTCATAAGGTCCACAGCTCGCGCACGTGATTCAATTATTGCCACAACCTAACGAAGGGGAAGCAATTAGATACCAAAGTTAGTAGCGAGCATGACAACCACCACGGCTGTGTCCAGTTATCAGTGGACAAATAAAATTACCTCGTTATGCAGATTCACATAGGGAAACTCTACAAGATCCTGTAGCTGTGAGCGTTCGCAAAGAACTACCACCAGCTGCCGCAGACAATCTAACTGCCTAGGAGAAAAAAAAAAAAGGGACATGAGGGCAAACTGTCTCAGTGGGTTAAACAGGGCTGGTAAATTGCCTTCTCTAAAAAAGACTGGGATTGACTACCTGCTGGAATCAGGAATTTGGGTTAAGGCTTCATATGCTTGGCTATTGTGACCCAAATCCAAATGATGTTTGAAAATGCATGTCCTTAAGGTAGCCTAAATGTCAAATACAGGGGGGGAAAAAAACAATAGCAATTAAAATCCCACATCCAGGACAAATCTAAAGGGAAATAACTAGATTATAGTTCGTTCTTACCTGACTTTTCCAGTCACCACCTACTTCAGTTAATATTGACGAAGCCAACTGAATAACCAGCTCAGGCAAACCAACAACATCTAGTAGACGCAAAACCTGAGGAGAAACAGAGGGAGTTTCCATTAAAATTAATATGGTAGTACACTTCAAATTGAAATAGGAATTATATCAGTCAGAAAGATAACTAGTTAAGATGGAGATTAAATCAAAGATGTTGACTACAAGACAGGATTATTTGGTTAATATTTGACTTTCCTTTAGGGGCGCCTGGCTGGCTCAGTCGGAAGAGCACGCGACTCTTGATCTCGGGGTCGTGAGTTCGAGCCCCACGTTGGGTGTAGAGATTACTTAAAATAAATAAATAAAATAAAATAAAAAAGACTTTCCTTTAGATTCTACTGTCAAATAACAGGCTTACTGTAAAATTTCCTATTGGTTTTTTTGTTCATGGCTCTATGTTCAATGTTTAGTACACAGTGGGCTCTTAGTAAGTATTTGTTGAAGGAACACATGCAATTTCACTGTTGACTTTTCCTAGTAACTGTTTAGGTCATAGATTAATTTAAAGCTCAAAAAATAAATTGCCACCATAGCCTTATAAAACCCTAAAGAGAATAATGTTTGACATAATCCATTTCTAATACAAGACAGAACAGTGCTCTTCAAACTTTTTTGATTGTCCACCCTATTAACGTCTGTGCACACATGTGCACATGTATTTACTTATGTATACACAGCTCTCTAATATATATGTTTAACACACTCAACATATAAATTTATAGAAGATGAAATAAAGATAAAGTTTTGAATTATTTTTGTTTACTAGTACTTATTTATTCTTTTCTTTATTAACAGTATAAAACATCTTTTTTTTTGGATGCTTAGTTTTTATTTTACACTTTTTCTTGAAATATAACATATATTTAGAAACGTACATAAATCCTAGGTACACAGCTGACTGAATGTTCACCAAGTAAACATATCCATCCATAATTTATCGATCCATTCTGTCAATGGACACTTGGGTTTCTAGTGTATGAGTTTTATGAATATGTTGCTTGGATCATCATTATACATCTCTTTTGGTAAATATGTATATGTTTATGGATATATTTAGAATTGGAATAACTGGGTCATAGGGTATATCAATGATTGCAGCTAGTAAATACCAACAGTTTTTCAAAGTGGTTGTAGCCAATTTATACTCCACTACAGGTGATTAGGATGCTTAATGCCTTGATAATTTTTTTTTTTTTTAAGATTTTATTTATTTATTTGAGAGAAAGTAGGAGCAGAGGGGAGGAAGAGCAAAGGGAGAGGGAGAAGCAGATTCCCCGCTGAGCAGGGAGCCCGATGCGGGACTCCATCCCAGAACCCTGGGAATCATGCGATCATGACCTGAGCCGAAGGCAACGCTTAACCGACTGAGCCACCTAGGCGTCCAGTAATTTTCATGGTTTCTTATTATCCTGAGTTGACATTTTAATTCAAGATACACTTACTTAGATTTTAAAATAGCATTCCTGAGAAGTTCACCTGTTATCAGCTGATTCTTGTCAGATCTGATTATAGACTGTTTTTTTTTTTTAAAGATTTTATTTATTTATTTGAGAGAGAGAGAATGAGAGACAGAGAGCACGAGAGGGAAGAGGGCAGAGGGAGAAGCAGACCCCCTGCTGAGCAGGGAGCCCGATGTGGGACTCGATCCCAGGACTCCAGGATCATGACCTGAGCCGAAGGCAGTCGCTTAACCAACTGAGCCACCCAGGCACCCATCTGATTATATATATTTTTTTATTTTTTTATTATTTTTTATTTTTTTTATTCTTATGTTAATCCCCATACATTACATCAGATTACAGACTGTTACTGTTTTTACCTTGCAATATGGCTGATGAAGAGCCTGTATCAAAGGGAGAAGCATCAGCCCTATTTTGTCCTCATTTGCTTGTACTTTCTTAATCTGGCTTCTTTGCAGGAATTTTTTAAAATTGTGGAGGTGATTTGTATTAAAATGAAGCAATATCATGTATAAATCAATTTAACCAGGCAAACATAATCTACTGAAATCAAATGGAGTAGTGTAGGTGTCCCCCTGAAGCCCCACCGCAGCTATGACACCTTCACTCTTCCTTCAGATGCCTACCTTGAGACTAAATGACAAGTGACCACCTGGTAAAGGACCACATAAGAGCACCAGGGTTGATCCTTATATTAAACATTAGCACATCTTAATTTATTTCTTCTGTGTGAGTTCTAGTATTTTCTTCAATGGCCCACTGTGGGGTCCATCAGAGCAGTGATTCATCATGCTTTTTGAATCAGTACCTTTCTTCTGATGAAAGCTATGGAGCTTCTCCACAGAAAAAATACAAGCAACATTTTGCACACAATTTCAGGGGATTTACCAACTCCTCAAATCTAGCCAGCCTCAGATTAAAAAATCCTTAGAATTCAGGGTGCCTGGTTGACTCAGGTGGTAGAGTGTGCAACTCTTGATCTTGGGGTTGTAAGTCTGAGCCCCACAGTGAGTGTGGAGATTACTTAAAAACAAACAAACAAACAAGCAAAAAACTGGGGCACCTGGGTGGCTCAGTCGGTTAGGTGACCGAGTCTTGATTTCAGTTCAGGTCATGATCTCAGGGTGGTGAGATCGAGACCCTCGGTGAGCTCCATGCTGAGCTTGGAGCCTGCTTAAGATTGTCTCCCTCTCCCTACCCCACTCACGTGCTCTCTCTCTCTCCCTCAAATAAATAAATAATAAAATATATCTTAAAAAAAAAAATTCTTAGAATTCAAAATAATTTTCTCATCAGAAGGATGGTGGAGGGTTATTAAGAGCTACAAATCTATTTCAGTAGAAATTCATTTATCTTGGGGTGCCTGGCTGGCTCAGTCAGCAGAGCATGTAGCTCTTGATTGCAGGGTCATGAGCTTAAGCCCACATTGGGCATAGAGCTCACTTAAAAAAAAATCATTTGTCTCTTTTACAAGCAATGAACAAAATGGTTAAGCCTGCCTTTGTCATTTACTTTTTGGTGGGAAATTTAGATAACAACAAATAGTTATCTAAAATCTAAACATCAAGAATGGTTAAATGTTATGGTGACAGAGGCGCAGAGACTTCAATGAAATGAGGACTTGAACCTTGACTATCTGGAAAAAGGGAAACAGCAGGTACAAAGGTCTTGAAGGGAACAGAGTGTATGCCTGGCTTGCATGAGATAGTAAGCAGGCCACTCTCTCTAGAACTGAATGATCAGAGAAAAGAGTGACAGGAAAAAAGGTCAGTAGAGATACTGAGGTCCAAATATTAAAAACTAAGGCTAAATACAGCATTCCAAGTTAATTCCTTGAGATTTAGGCAAGACTACTATCAGTAAAATTCTGATGACCAGGCTAACAAACTGGTAGGTATCATAATAGGAATTTCACTTAAGTTAAAAACATTACCAATTTCGTTTAAAATATACGTTTTCTTTAATTTCTCCAGGGAATTCATTTCTCTCTTCTCTTGGAAGTTCAGGGAACAATTAAATTTTTACATTACTTTTCTCCCCAAATACAAAAGCAATGATTTCAGACACGTTTTTACACAGGGTGGTGTAAGAAGGACCAAACCACACCATAATATACCTTATCATAATACTGCATCTTGGGGGTGGAAACAATCTCCCCATCTTCTGAGCGAATCAAGCGATCCAAGAATTCCTCTTTGCCCACTTCAGATGCTGCATGGCGGAAGCAATCCAGAGCCTGGAGAAATAAAAGAATACAAAATGACTTATAATGGACTGTTTTAATTCTAGGTGCTTAAAAGTCGGGGGAGGGGAGGCAGGTGCTAAAGGAAAGCCAAAAAAGAAAAATTAAGACTGTTGACTACATTTACAATTTCTGCCATTCTAAATTCTGACACATTATTTAATATTTTTCTTTATCTCATTTTTAACTTAAATATTTTTAATAAGAAAATTGATGGATAAATATACAATAGCATAGTAACATGTTAACATTTGTAGAATTTGAGTGGTGAGTATATGATTAAGTCTTTAAACTTTCTGCATATTTGAAAATTCACATAAATAGGATGTCAGGGAACAAGTTAGAAAGATAAACTTCCATAATGGGGTGAGATAGCAGCATAAAATTAAAAAAAATTCATCCCTAAAAACACCTACACAGGGGCAAAAGGGTTTTAACATTTTCTTCTTCATGTTTTCCCATGTTCTAACTAATTTGCAAAGCACATGAAAGCTGAACAATCCCCACATGGCTCCTGCTGGCACTAATCGTCTTTATCCATATCTAGAGGATTCCGTGCCTTCCATCCCCCCAACCTAGTTTAGATGGAGACCAAGTGTCCTCTCTGCACTGAAGTTGGTTCATTCAAATGCAATTTACCTTCTGTCCCTCTCCTGTAACCAGGTAACACCGTCCCAGCATAAATCGACAGGAACCAACATTGACTTGACACCAGGGACGTAGCAGTTGAATATAATCCTTAAAGGCATAAAAGTTGCTTTCTGATTAGAAAATAAATATAAGGAGATAACCATTCCCAAGTTTTTCAAAGAGGGAAAGAAGATAGTGGTCAGTCAACATAAAAGGTGTATTTCCTGAAATCATCTGGAAATTAAAATCTAATCCTGTTAATCTATTCTTGTATTAGGTTAGACACTTTACAAAAAGCAAACAGGACTCTAATAACACCAACACATGTAAAAACACATACACTTTTCCAACTTAGCAATTTTCAACTTTTGGTATTTATTGGTTTAATGACTAGATTCCTGTAAAGGATTTATATGAAGACAATGGTATGTTTGTTTTAGTATAAGGAGAACCTAACAGGATTAAAAAAGCAAAACAAGATACCCTAGGAAAAAAACATTAGGAATGACATGTCAAGAGAGAAGTAAAGAAAATGTCTCTGGGGTATGTTTTGGTGCAATCAAGTTTAAATTATTATGGTTCTTATTATCAGCCAATTAAAATGCAGGTAACATTTATAAAGGAAAAAATTCCAGAAATCCAAGAATGATTAAACTGTACTCACCTGCAATTGTACATACTGACAATTCCCCATCAAACATTCCAGAAAGAGACATCCGGGATTGCTAGGCCATCTAGTCACTGGATAAGGAGATTTTTCTACTTTTTTGGCAAACTTAAATATATATACATATTGGGCATCAAACTCTATGCAATGATTTAATTTTTAAAAAAGAAGGTAAGAGAAAGTGGCAGAGCACGTGTTCTTGTATTAGACAAATACGGTTTAAAGGTTATTACTATTTTTTAAAGATTTTATTTATTTATTTGACAGAGACACAGCGAGAGAGGGAACACAAGCAGAGGGAGCGGGAGAGGGAAAAGCAGGCCTCCCACGGAGCAGGGAGCCCGATGTGGGGTTCGATCCCAGGACCCCGGAGATCACGACCTGAGCCGAAGGCAGACGCTTAACGACTGAGCCACCCAAGTGCCCCATGGTTTAAACGTTATACATTAGAAGCCTAGTCACCTAGCTCAGAATTCAATCTATGGGCTAGACCATGTATTCATCCCTGGGCGATCACTGCCAGTTCTGGTATATTATACATACCTTTGGTGCCAGTGGACACCCAGCATCTACCATAGTGTCTGACATACAGAGCCATTCAATAAATACTTGATGAACATATAACGTTTTAAGAGATCTAGGTATTAAGTATTTGTGTACCAAGAAAATCTGGCTAAGTCCGGAGGAAAATAAAACAAAATAAAATAAAAATTGGGATATCTGAGAGTAAATATTATCATTTCTTGTTGGGGGAATAAGCACCCAATCTCATTAAGAATCTTCATTATCCAGGGAGAATTAAGAGCCTTAGGCTATTTAGACAGAAAACACCTTTTAACTGGCTTTCATTTTTTTTAAAGATTTATTTATTTATTTGAGAGAGTGAGAGAGTGCATGCGCCATGAGTCGGGGGAGGATCAGAGGGAGAGGGATGAGAGAATCCTCAAGCAGAGTCCCTGTTGACTGCAGAGCCCAATGCAAGGCTTGATCCCAGGACCCAGAGATCATGACCTTAGCTGAAGTCAAGAGTTGTCCACTTAGCCAACTGACTGAGCCACCCAGGAACCCCTAACTGGCTTTTAAATAAAAGGATACAAAAGCTGCAATAAATAATTGGTAGTTGCAGTAATCATCTCGGGCCAATTCAACCCAGTTTGGCTCAGAGGTGCCTTTGGTTGAGAGAAGAGATGAGATATGATATGTTTTCTTGCAACTTCTTGGAAGAATAATTCCACAATTGTCTGAGGGCTAGATACTTAAAAAGAAAAAGTTATGACAATCATCAACTTGTGATAGTAGTGCCAATTTTCAATTAAGATAGTCTACTAATTCATGTTATGCCTATAATAAAGAACATTTATTATTTCAAATATACATTACACATGGGTGTAATCATTGGCAATATAAATAAAAGCAGATTATAAAGTGTGAAGTACTATACAAATGCAATAAAAAACCACTTAAATCAAAAGTGCACTCATGTCCTTTTCTTTTCACTGATCTCACTACACCTAAGCGTCTTCCTTAGGGAGTGTTTACAGTAAATATGGTCTCAAGATTCCAAGTTTTATACCAAAATAATACAAAACAAATTCTCCAGAATGGTTCTCAAGTATGAGAGACGATGCCTTTTAAATATGTATTAAGACAAGATTACAAAAGCTACCATGAACTTAAATTTTAAAACTAATTTTGTTGAATTAATCACCAGAGTATCAATATACAATAGAAAAGCAGGAATACACACACACATACATATGTTTACATATGCAACACCCTTAGTCTATGCTTGATTTGGGTTTCCCGGGGTTTCATGGACTCCCTGTCACAGGTCTCAGGCCACAGCTCACTTATGAACCTCCCAAAGTGAAAGCAGAGCCTACCCAATCTTTCCACAGCAGAGGTGGCAAAGGACCACTTTAATGAATATGCAATAAAAGCCAAATTTAAAATCAAATGCATATAGTCTAGTCCTTACCAAACTTATTTGCCATTACAGCACCAGAGTCAGTCAGTTCCAGTACTGACAAGTGTTGTAGATTGGACTCCCTGGGAGAACAGAGAAAAAGACAGCAGTTCTTCTACACAAACATTACTACAAGTTCTTCTCCATACAATACTGTCAATTTAATTAGTAAGTTGCATATAAAAGCTCTATTGAAAGGACATTGCCAAACAGGACAGTTTATCTTATTGAAAATATAATTCTTTTAAGTAATGGTTTCTTTTTTTTTTGGTTATAAAGCAGCTCAGCCTACCTTTTGTAACTAGTATGTTTTTGTGTGTGGTCTAACTTGCCCTGTGACCTCATCTATTTGGCCTTCAACAGGATTTATCTTTACATTAAACACACACACATATGTAATAACGGTACACCTGAAACTCAGGTAACATTGTGTGTCACCTCTATTTCAATTTTAGAAAAAGCATAAAAAACGCGTGGTTAGTGAAAAACTACCTCTCTCAACAGTTTCTAAGAAAAGACAAATTTTGGAAATTACATATATTTTCCATTTCCACTCCAGAATAAACATTTTTTCTTTTCAAAAAACCACATATATAATAATGTATATCTAGTATTTTGGTTCTTTTTATAAACTGCCTTCAACCTTTGGAAATTGAAGCAGCTAAATGCTCTCTGAATTTTATAGGCAAATCATGGAACCGCATAACGTTTACAATTTTTTTTAAGACAATGAAAAAAATAATCAAACTCGCAATTTATTTTAAAAATAACCAGAATAGTGAAACTCACAGCGTGTCAACTGGAACATCAGTTGCCAAGCACTGACTTCCCCACTTAATGAGATAATAAGATAAGAGTAGAGGAGTTGTTCGATGTAGGAGGTCTTGCTGGTCTTGAATGAGCTGACCAGCTCCCAAGATCACCTATACATGATGAGTGGGTGGGTGAGACCATACACAGCGATTAGTGATAACTCTTAAGGTTCAGGTGGAGGTAAAATAAATAACAAACACAGTTACAAAGGGCATACAAAAAAAGCGACACATGTACATAAAGGCAACACACCTATTAAATTTTAGGGTAGCAAAAATATCTACCCAAAGATTTAACAGTACAAAAATGCTGATGGTGAAAGAGAAAACAAAAGTGTAATTTTCACTGAATCTGTGGGCTCAGAATTCAAGAACAGGAACAGGGAAATCTAAGCCCTTCCTTATGTTACTAGTCTTGGATAAAAATAGTTATGAACATTAGAGGAAATTTTGGCAATACCACCAAAAGCCTTAAAAATGTGCATAGCCTGTGACCAATCAATTCTGAGTTCTGAGAATTTATCTCAAAGATACAGTAGAGGTGTATGGATATTTATAGGTATGAGGAAAAAACTGGCAACAACCTGGATGGCCACAAATGGGACTGGTTGAATAAAACTGTGCTAGGTTAACTATAAAAATAATTTTGTAGAATACTTAATGACCTGTGAAAATACTGATGAGCTGTGTAAGGTAGAATAAAAACAATCAGATTACAAAAATACCATGTAGCATATCCTAATTCTAGAAATAAAATGTTTGCAGAGAAAAAAGAGTGTACACCAACATGTTATCCCAGTTGTTACTGGGTCAATTACAGATGAATTTTAATTTTTTTTGTTTATAGACAGAGGCTTACATATAAAGGTTCTATGATGAACATCTATTACTTCTGTACTTAGAAAAAAACAATGGTTATAATTAACAAACAAACAAATGCCCCACAAAAACTACTGAAGAAATGGAAGACTGCAGAGATTGAAAAGAACTCAGTAAGGGCTGCCCTGAGTACCAGGCTCTCAGGAAAGGCTCCTGTGTCTCCCGGGTGGTCTTAAACAAATCATCTTCCTAAATGTCCTCCTTATTTTTACCTGAAATTCTACCATTATCAACGTATTTGAGTTAATAAATTCTGATTTAAAATATATGAATAGCTTTGGGAGTCGCAAAGGCCTTGCAGTTCTTTATACATTAACATGAGTTAGTGAACCAGACTGCTCCCTTGTCAGGCTAGGATGAGATAACCAACTGACAGACAAGTGGGGCTTCTGCCTGAGGGCAGAAAGGCAATCTCCAAACATGGAACATTTAGTAGCATGGGAGACAAGGACTACGAGACTACGAGACAACAAGACAAGAGTCTGGTGGCCTAAGAAGACTAGGATGGAAAAGGAAGCACAGAATGGAGCTGGGAGGACCCCAGGTGGTGCAGTTGGTTGAGCGTCTGACTCTTGGGTTTCGGCTCAGGTCATTATCCCAGGGTCATGAGATGGAGCCCCGAGTTGGGCTCCACACTGGGCATGGAGCCTGCTTGAGATTCTCTCTCTCCCTCCTGGCCCCCCACAGTGCACATGCTATCTCTCTCAAATAAACATACACATCTTAAAAAAAAAAAAACGTGCCTAGGCTAAATTTTGTACTGCAAAAATTTCCTTTCTCTTCCACACTAAATGGTATCTTGTTATCACATGCAAAGTAGTTACTAACAATACTAAATTTTGGGAGAGCCACCCTGGGAAATTTCCCCATCACTATACATACAAAGATTGATTGTAAAATAATCTGCTTCATGGATTTTTTTTTAAGCTTATTTATTTACTTATTTTTAAAAAAGATTTTATGTATTTATTTGACAGAGAGACAGAGCGAGAGAGGGAACACAAACAGGAGGAGTGGGAGAGGGAGAAGCAGCCTTCCCGCTGAGCAGGGAGCCGGATGCAGGGATCGATCCCAGAACCCTGGGATCATGACCTGGGCTGAAGGCAGACGCTTAACGACTGAGCCACCCAGGCGCCCTCAGTATATTTATTTTTTAAAAAGTAGGCTCCTCACCCAGCATGGACCCCAACACCGACCTTGAACTCACAACCCTGAGATCAAGACTGAGCTGAGATCAAGAGTCTGACACTTAACCAACTGAGCCACCCAGGTGCCCTTATTTATTTTTAAGTAATCTCTACACCCAACATGGGACTCAAACTCAAGAGTTGCATGCTCTTCTGACTGAGCCAGCAGGTGCCCCTTGTCATGTATGTTCTTTTTTTTTTTAAGATTTTAATTAATTAATTAAAAAGATTTTATTTATTTGACAGAGAATGCCCACACAAGCAGGGGGAGAGGCAGGCAGAGGGAGAGGGAAAAACAGGCTCCCTGCCAAGTAGAGAGCCCGACATGAGGCCAGCTCACAGAACCTTGGCATCATGACCTGAGCCAAAGGCAGATGCTTAACCAACTGAGCCACCCAGGCGTCCCCATCATGTACGTTCTTAATCTGCAATTTTAGACACTCACTACAGGTCAAACGTAGGTGATAGAGCAGTGAACAAAGACAAAAGTCTGTACCCATAGAGCCGACATTCTGCTCTGTGAGTAGATTTTACAGGTTTCCCCCAAGCAGTACTTACGGCATCTCCCAGCCTCATTAGCAGATGCTGCAATATCACAAGGTCTCGGCAGATGAGGAAGCGAGTGCTGGCAATTTTACACACACCTCTGCACACAATGCATGCTGCTGTGTTGCCACCATACAGCTGGGAAAGATTCATTCGAATATTCAAAGGCTGAGCTATAATTAAGAGAAAAAAAAAAAGGAAAAGAAGTTAAAAGGAGTTAAACTGTTTTCTCTAAATCAAAGAGACACGTTTGTTGTCATTCACCTGGATTGAACCCCTTTTCCATTTCCACTTCTGTCTCATAATCCATTTCCCGCACAAGTAGCCCGATGGCCTGGATTGGGTTCTTGATCTCTTGCAGCTTACTGCAAATATCCTCCATCACATTTTCTCTAGAAGGACAATCAGGAAACTATTACTACTGAGAATACGTAACACAGAAGACTCTATAAGTGCTATAAGCTAAATGCTCTATGAGACAGGAAGACTAGCTACAGAATAAAGGAGTGGAGATAATCACTCTGGCATACAAGATACTTTTACTTCATATAGCAAATTTTCCCTCATTCTTTCAGAAATGACAGACAAAATGCATGTGAGAAAATACTTTTATGTTTTAGAATTTATAGCTCAGTTAGTAGTTAATAGTGCATAATTTATGAGTCTGCTTCCAGATCTGAATTCATGTGTAAGATTTTGTTTAAAAGCAGAGACACCTATTGAGAATTTTAGCAACTCATTTTAACTTCAAACCACTATTTTGCATGGACTTGCATGTACATTAAAAACTTGATGCTGGCACTAAAATTTGCTAAATTTCTATTAGGAAATGCACTTTACCCTAAATGCTCCTTACACATCAATAGTGATCAAATCTTCCAGAATCTGTTCTGCAGCCTTTTCTGGAGACTGTAGGTTGTAACAGCTCATTTCCATCACTGCTGACATATCCATAGTTACTGACTCCCCAATCAGGCGAAGACATTTTATAAGACACATGACATCCCGAGCAACATCCACATCTGTGAGTAAGAGAACGTTAACATTCATGACTCAAGCCAATGAAGAGCCACTGATTAATATTATACTAAAATAAAATATTAATAATTAAATGCCAAGGATCTATCTGAGGTCTTGGAGATGCTTAGGCCTCTTCAGTTTTCCTTACAATATCTATATTGTGGTAAACTGACCAGGAAAGGTCATAGTGGCAATCAAAGTTTTTTTGCATCCACTTGAAACAAAGCATAGAGTTCATGTAGGAAGGGGCTTAAACATGGACACAGTAATTATTATTACCATCAGATATAGCTGCCTCATCCTCTGCCAAAAGGTTCTCATCAGGCAGGAGATACAAATGATCCACTAAGGAGGAAGGCACAAGGAAAGACAGGTATCCCTGGAAATACAAATCTTCCAATTACACTTTTTGCAATGAATGTTTACAGGTATAAAAAAATTGAGACCTGAATCTTATCACGAGGAAACACCAGACATATCCAAGCCGAGAGACACTCTATAATAAACAACAGGTATAGTTTTCAAAAAATGTCAATGTCATGGAAGACAAAGAAAGGCTGACAAAAGCTCAAGATTAAGCTAAATAAACATGACAACCAAATATATCCAAGATCTTAGATTGGATCCTATATCAGAGGAAAAATTATGGGCACAACTGGTAAAATCAGAATGTAACAGTACAATATCATATCAATAACGAATTACCTGATCTTTAAATTGTGCTGTGGTTATGTAAGAATACACGGTTCTTTTTTTTTTTTTTTAAGAATACACTGTTCTTAAGATACATAGTAAAATATTTAAGAATACAGGGGCATAATGTCTATGACAGTCAAGTGGCTTAAGAAGAAAAATATTTATGTATAAAAGGAGGGAAAGCAAATGGAAGCTAACAAACAATGAATCTGGGTGAAGGGTATACAAAAGTTCTTTGTGCTACTCTTGTAACTCTTTAAAGTTTGAAATTACTTCAAGACATAAGGTAAATAACGTAAAATGCAAGAAAATTATAAATAATGCAGAAGACTATCTAAATACAAATGAACTATAATTCTAAAAGAAAAAAAAGTACTAAAAGCTAACTATAACATTTGACTTGACTGATAGTCTGAAAGATCTGCAGACCCATCTAAAGGAGTTCTATATGCTTTAGCTCCCTTACTTTTTTCAGTAGGCACACCATGTTTGTGTGTGGATTCAGATGAAGGGCAAGAGGGTGAGAGAGGGCTTCTTGGTACTGAAGACAACAGGCATAGAACTTGCACCAGAATTCCTGTTGTAAATTTCGAAACTCCTCCTGGGAAAATTCATATTCTGTTACACTTCCTTGGAGCTAGCAAAGAAGAAAAGGGTGGGGGGAAGAGAGAAACTCTTAATACCATTTGGGATCTTTCTTCCCCAAAACATAACTGTCTAATATCATTTTACTAAGTTATAGCCAAATGAATATCCCATATTATGCATTACATGCCATAGACTATATGTATCTAATTTTCAAATTAAAAGGTTAACATTTATACTTCCTACTAACAAGGTCCAGTGAACAACTTGAACAATTCCTCAGTAGCAATCTACCCTGTACCAAGAAATTATTCTTTCTCTACCAAACCTCACCTCACTTTCAACAGCTAAAGTGACTTCTTTCTTCAGTTCACTCCATGAAAGATCTAAATTCCTCTCAGTTCCTCGACAGAAAATCTAAAATTAAAGGAGACATTTTAGAGTATTATACACTACCCAAAACTGAATGAGAAAGACTTCAATTTAGAAGGCAATGAGCCAATACACAGCTATACAATAGAAACTGAACACGCCTGAACAACCCGTCTATGTCTAACTCTGCGAATAATTCCTGTATGTAAAATCATAGCCAGTTTGAAATCATTGTTTTTTTTTTTTAAATCATTTATATAGACCAGAAAAAACTACAGAAATCCATGAATCTGACAGAATTAGAACAGGGTAGGAAGGGGCTTAAACTGGATTACAAAAAGCAAAAAAACCCCTGAAAGGCCATTGCTCAGCCAGAAGGAAGATATAAAATGATGCTAAATACACACACCCAAGACTGGCACAAAAGCAAGCTAGAGTAGTCTTGTGGCTGGTCACTCTACTAGGAATGACTCTCCTAAAGGAGAGCATTTATTTTATTTATTTATTTTTTAAACATTTTATTTATTTTTTGACAGACAGATAGAGTGAGAGAGCACAAGCAGAGGGAATGACAGAGGGAGAGGCAAAGCAGGCTCCCCGCCGAGCAAGGAGCCCCACATGGGGCTCAATCCCAGCACCCTGGGATCATGATGTGAGCCGGAGGCAGACGCTCAACCAATTGAGCCATCCAGGAGTCCCTAAGGAGAACATTTATGCCTTAGTGATTATTTAATATTTCAGTGTACAAGAGATATCATAAGACAAATACATTTAATTGTTAACAAGGAAGAAGGCTGATGGGATGAAAAGAAAAAACACCTTAGAAGGGAGTGACTGTGTCACCCACAAGTTTTAGCAGAGAGAAAACAGAAAACATGCAACAGCCAAATATTTAAGAATGTATGTAAAAGAAAAGGGTCTAGAAATGGTATCATCTGAGAGAAAGTTAAGGAACTGGGTGTATTTAATCTGGAGGAAGATTCCTAAAATATTTGACTAGTTGCTTTGCAGAAGACAGGCATGTTCCATGAAGTCCCAAAAGAGAGAACCCACCAAAAGGATAGGGGCTAAATGTGATCTAATATTGGGAAGAGCTTTTAAATAACAGCTTGGGAACAATAACTCACACAAGAGCCAGTGGGAAACTGATCACTGAAGGCAGAGACAACCAGGAGCTGAATGGTGGTTGGAAAAGCCTCAGAAGGTGTTTCTTTGTGTGGAAGGTCAGGGGAGGAGATTCTCAAGGACCTTTCAATTCTATGAGTGATTTTTGTTTTTTGTTTTTAAGATTTTATTTATTTATTTGACAGAGAGAGAGAGACAGCGAGAGAGGGAACACAAGCAGGGGAGTGGGAGAGGGAGAAGCGGGCTTCCTGCTGAGCAGGGAGCCTGATGCGGGGCTCGATCCCAGGACCCTGGGATCATGACCCAAGCTGAAGGCAGATGCTTAACGATGGGGCCACCCAGGCACCCCTGATTATTCTATTTTTAATTCACGAAGTTAATGGCAATTTAAGGAAACCCAAGTGACTTTAAAGTAAAGAATCCTTTTGTAAAGCATTAAGTATCTCTTAAGCCATGTGACTTTGAAGATTAGATTTTCAGAGGTTTTTTTTGAATCTGAACTAAGACAGACCTTCGTTGTATTAACAAAAGGGTAAAAGAGAGTACCATCAAAACTAACCAAGAGGGGCGCCTGGGTGGCTCAGTCGTTAAGCGTCTGCCTTCGGCTCAGGTCATGATCCCAGGGTCCTGGGATCGAGCCCCGCATCGGGCTCCCTGCTCCGCGGGAAGCCTGCTTCTCCCTCTCCCACTCCCCCTGCTTGTGTTCCCTCTCTCGCTGTGTCTCTGTCAAATAAATAAATAAAAATCTTTAAAAAAAAAACCTAACCAAGAAAACATTTTAAATTTCTTTCAAGTACTGAGATTACATGCAGAATAGTATGGTATCTTTTTACAATAGTGAAGGCACAAATTTCTCTTTTTACTACTGGCACACTTCAGTAGTCATTGGGAAAGTACCCACAGCTCTACCTCCCTGTTGGGAGTCTTACTTAATGGAAAAAACATTTAAAAAATTACACTAATAAGCACATGTATCTACAACTGCAAAAATATGTTTGGTGTTTAGTGTATATAAAACAACAAAAATTAATAGTAATTATTAATTATACAATGATAGTGACAAAGTAAGAGATAGTCTAAATATTAAATCTTTTCTTGCTGACCTGTAAAGCTTTACATAAAGCTGCATTTATGAATCGTCCTGGTGTAAATAGATTCTGCAAATACATCTCCTGTTAGAACAGTAAAACAAAAATTAGTGTCATTCTAAATAGATAAAATCTGGAAAAATTTGAAGGAAGAATTCATCACATTAGCACCAACATTTGAGTTTCCATTATATAAATATAGCCTTTCTATATTTGAGCAATACCAAATACTAGAGCAGTTCTCTTTTCACATTGAGAAGACTGCAATGTCTCTGAGTCAACTAGGTGTACTATAATGAAATCAGTGTGTTCCTCATGGAGTACTTCATAGCATTCAACTGGAAAACAGAGCTTGTCAAATGCCAACCTTAAATGGAAAAGGTGAACCTCAGTTTATTGGTGATACACACTGGGAAGAGAACAATTAAACTAAACTGGTTTCTACACAATCCACAAAGTGGCTCACATATAAAAGAAAAGGAACCAAGAATAGGCATTACATGTAAAAAACAAATAAAAACCTGCAATAAGCTGTCACTAGCAGGGAAATGAAGTAGAGAGAAAAAAATGGGAAGTCCTATGTTGCCTAATTATTCTGCCCAAATTTTTAAATCAGATTTGCAGGAAGTAGCAAACCTGACTGACCTTCATTCAAATTTCCTTCCTCCTACTAAGGTTCTAGGGAATGACCTCGGGCCCATAATCTTCAACCTCATTTTAACATGAAGGCATCATCTGAAAGCTTTTGCTTCTACTTATCCTGAGGGTATCTCTGAAAAACAGGGAGACCGGCCTGTTTTGCTCGCTATTGTATTACCTTTTAAAGTTATTTTCTTCATAGTATATACGCTACCAGAATTTATCTGATTTCTAGTTTATACATGCATGTACCAACACGGTTGGTATAGTGGACACATAGTGTTTATGCCTGCCCAGCATCCATTTCCCTTCTTTTACTAACAAGTCCCTATCTTTCTCTGGGGAACCATTCCTCCTCTACCCATATTCCCCCTACTCAACTGACCTCACCATCTCCACAAGAGCAAGGTGCAGGTCGGACAGGTTTCTCATGCCAAGCCAGATTACCTATTCCTTCTGCTCAGAGTGACTACATCAGAAATCAGCACAAGGTTCAAGCCAGGTAAATGAGAGTCTACTTCAGGACCAGGGACAGAGGTTCTTTCTTTCCTCTGGGGTTCCTAAGTTCATAGAATGCACAGGTTCAAGGAGCCTGCCTGAGAATAAACCCAACAAGGAGGAAAGCAGAATAGAGAAAAAGGAGAGATCAAGACCTGAAAGCACTGTTCCAGCCATGGCTGAAGCCAGGTAACTCTCAGCTTCTCAGCTGCACAAATCAATACATTTTCCTTTTAAGCTTAAGTCAGTTTGAGGTGGGTTTCTTTCACCTGCAGCTGAAAGAATTCAGACTAATACAACTGATTCTTCTCAAACTAATGATCAGAGTAAATCATCCCCTTACATAAGACTTTAATGTTGCTTACTCTGGGGTCTTGATCATCTCTGAGAATGATCTCTTCCTCTGGCAGAGAGTGCATAAAAACCGAATTCCATTGACCTGCAGCATTACTACAGGGAAACAAAAAAGACCATCAACCTACATAAAAATGATAACTAAAAGCTTAGCTGTTGATCTAGTAAAAGTTTAAAAATAAATAAATAAAACTTATTTTCAGCAGTCTGGCTTTACAGAAGTGCTCTTAACAGTTTAATAGGCATCTTCCTGAAATTAAAACTCTAGCCACAAATATATAAATAATAGCTATTAATGTGCATTTACTATATGTTAGACACTATGCTAAGTGCAGTTAAGGGTATTACTCATGTAAGCCTTATGGTAACTCTAAAGGATGTACTACCCCATTTTGCAGATAGGGAAAGTGAGGCTTAGGGCATCTCACAGCTACTCAGCTTCACAACTGGATTCAAACTCTCATCTGATACCAGAGTTCTGCTTTTTACTATTTTGCTGGAATGCTATCTATAAGGGCTATTTTCATATTTTGTGAGGTGTGGCTCAACCGTCTGGGGCAACTATTCCTTTTATTCTGCTTTAGAATACAGGGTTATGAGGGATCCCTAAGGTTCAATTAGTTTAGTTCCAAGGACATTAAACTGTATGCCAGGGAATCCTACCCAGGTCATTTCAGGGGTTACACAGTGTTTGATTCAAAATTATTTTTTTAATGTATTTTGTAACTACTAAAAAACATCTTATACTATTATCATGTACATTAATAGTATTAGAGACCAAATATACCTACTAATAGAGATTATCAACACATTAAATTGTGTTACGATTTTATACTCATAAAATACTAGTTTTATATACTGGAGTTCATTATCTTTCAGAAAAAGGGGTTTCCTGTTTTAAAAAAGTTTGAAAAGCACTATACTTGTGCAATCAATGTCTCTTCTTATGATGAGGAAACTGAGTACCCAAAGGGGCTGTAGTATCTTTTGGAAGTTGTGGCTGTCAGAAATAGTCTGCTCAGAAGCAAAGAAAACTCCCAAATCAGAATTATTTTGGGTATGTGCCATTTCTCCCAAGAAATATGGTATTTTCTTTATCTCATTCCTAAGTAATTCTTCATTTTGTTCTAAAACCAAAAGGTAAGAAATAACACAAAATGCAAAAGGAGGAATTTCGGAAAATAGTTAACAACAGGCAAGCCCAGGGATGAATCCTTTCAATGTGAACACCTGACTTTGGTTCTACATAAAAAGCTCTGTTTTCTAAATATGAAACTCCTTGGGGTGAGGCAGGATGACAGAGGTAAGTGATCCATACTGTTCATAGTTGATGTATTTCACAACAGTTTGGTTTTCAGCATCATGCCACATGGCCCAGATATCTGTAGAGGTTATGGCAAAGTCAATCAGTGTCTCCTAGGGGGAAATATGAGGGAAAATGAGGTTAAAATAAGAAAGGGTAATAGCTTATAGTGACTTAAATTTGTATCAATAGGAGGTAAAAGCATAAAAACAAAAGATGGTACCACAAGAACTTGGTAAAACCCAAATGAAATTTTGTTTGCATGTATCATTAAATATTCCATTTTAAGATTTCCATCCCTTTACAACATAGTTGAGTCAGTCAATACTTTTTTCCTGTACTTGTGTGATATGCAAAGGATGATCCAACCTACCTGAGAAGTGAATAGGGAGGAAATGTGATCTAGACTATAGCGGTTATTCTCAGTGCTCACCAGCTGGAAAATGCAGAACTGTTGAAACATAAGTTGATAATTTATTACTTGAAATAATCAACATGCTATTTTCTAAGAGTTATGAGCATCCAGAAACCAATTTTTTAAAAAATGTGGTAAAATACACATAACATTTATCATCTTAACCATTTTTAAGATACAGTCAAGTAGTGTTAAATACATTCACATTATCATGCAACCTATTTCCAGATATTTTCTCATCTTGTAAAACTGAAACTATACTCATTAAACAACTCCACACTCCCCTCTCCCTCCAGTCCCGGGTACCCACCATTCTACTTTCGGTTTCTATGAACTTGACTACTCTAGGCACTTTTTATATAAGTGGAATCTTCTTTTTTAATATAATTGGAATTTTTTTTTTAAAGATTTTATTTATTTATTTGACAGAGAGACAGCGAGAGCAGGAACACAAGCAGAGGGAGCAGGAGAGGGAGAAGCAGGCTTCCTGCCGAGCAGGGAGCCTGATGCGGGGCTCGATCCCAGGACTCTGGGATCATGACCTGAGCTGAAGGCAGACGCTTAATGACTGAGCCACCCAGGCACCCCATATAATTGGAATCTTAACAGTATTTTCTTTTTTTGTAACTGGATTACTTCACTTAGCTTAACATCCTCAAGGTCTATCCATGATGTAGCATGTGTCAGAATTTCCTTCCTTTTTAAAAAGGTTGAATACTACTCCATTTTATGTATATACCATTTTTATTTATTCATTCATCTGTCAAGGAACACTTCGGCTGTTTCTAACTTTTGGCTATTGTAAATAATGCTATGAATATGGGTGTATAAATGTCTTTTTTTTTTTTAAGATTTTATTTATTTGACAGAGAGAGACACACAGAGAGAGGGAATACAAGCAGGGGGAATGGGAGAGGGAGAAGCAGGGGGAGTGGGAGAGGGAGAAGAAGGCTTTCCACTGAGCAGGGAGCCCAATGCGGGGCTCGATCCCAGGACCCTGAGATCATGACCTGAGCCGAAGGCAGACGCTTAACAACTGAGCCACCCAGGCGCCCTATAAATATGTCTTTGAGACCTTGCTTTGAATTCTTTGGGGGTATATCCCAGAAGTGGAAATTTGCTGAATCACATGGTAATGCTATGATCAATTTTGTTTTGAGGAACTGCCACGTTGTTTTCTACAGTGGCTGCGACATTTTACATTCCCACCAGCAACGCACAAGGGTTTCAATTTCTCCATATCCTTGTCAACCCTGCTATTTTCTGGGTTTTTTTTTGGATAGTAGCCATCCCATGGGTGTGAGGTAGTATCTCATTATGGTCAGAAGCCTGTTTTTAAGTTTATATTTTTACTAAAGTACCAGAGATAATTAATTTGAGAGAGAGCATGAGAGTGAGCACACGCTCCAGAGTGTAGGGGAGGGGCCCAGGGAGAGAATCTTCAAGCAGACTTCCCGCTGAGTATGGAGCCTGATGCGGGGCTTGATCTCATGATCCATGAGATCATGACCTGAGCTGAAACTAAGAGTCGGCTGCTCAACCGGCTGAGCCACCCAGGAGCCCTGTACCAGAGATAATTTAAAACATATGTGCAATACATATCAACACTAGTTAACTTTACTAAAAACTAAACTCTGTAATTCAAGTGTAGTATTTAACTCTACTACCAAAACAAATATTTTCAAACTCAAAAAATGATATTTAATGGATATTTTATTATTTATTTTTTAGATTTTATTTATTTATTTGACAAAGAGAGACAAAGCGAGAGAACACAAGCAGGGGGAGTGGAAGAGGGAGAAGGAGGCTTCCTGCGGAGCAGGGAGCCCGATGAAGGGCTCGACCCCAGGACCCTGGGATCATGACCTGAGCCGAAGGCAGGCGCCTAAAGACTGAACCACCCAGGCGCCCCTAACGGATATTTTTAAGTAATTTTTTGGATAAAGAAAATTCACTATAAATTGATGAGTGACAATGATTCTGTCTTTATAACACAAGCAACTGTCCACAAGGAAGTACTAAAAGAAAAATATACAGTGAGAGTCCCTCTTGGGAAAAAAATAGCAGTGTATGAAATATGGAAAATATATATAGTATTCATATTCATCTTAGCCTAGAGCTATATTTTACAAGTTGCAGATCTCAACCCCTTAGTGGGATATAAATCAATTTAGTAGGTCTCAACCATGTTAAAAAAAAAAACAACAACGTATCAGAGTTCATCAGTTCATCACTCCTAGTACAGGTAAGCATGTTTCATGAAAATTTTTTTGTTACATGTCCATCATCACATATGTGTATAGTAAGTAGTAAAATAAGATATTTCTTATTATAGATTCTAGCCAAAAAACAAGTTGGAAAAATGCTGGGCTAGTGTAGTGCTTCTCAAACTACTTACCTGTAGTAAAGGACCAGCTTTTTTTTTTTTTTTTTAATTTCTAACCTGTTGCAGATTGATACTTTTACAAAATACAGAAACCTTGAATGTGAATGTCTGTAGCAATGTCAAACCACTATAAATGTCTCTAAAAGTTTTCCTCTCACTTTCTGTAGTTATCTTACTGCAAACTGGTAACCAAGAATTTGTGGCCCAGGACCAGTCCACAGACCACACACCACGGGTCTGCAGGACTTCTGTTTGTGAGTTGTCTTAGTGTCTTTTTTTTTAAGTTTTTTACTTATTTGAGAGAGAGAGAATGAGAGAGAGAGCACATGAGAGCGGGGAGAGTCAGAGGGAGAAGCAGACTCCCTGCCGAGCAGGGAGCCCGATGTGGGACTTGATCCAGGGACTCCAGGATCATAACCTGAGCCGAAGGCAGTCGCTTAACCAACTGAGCCACCCAGGCGCCCTGTCTTAGTGTCTTAGATGGAATACAGGCGGCAAGCTTATGATCTCAATGAGAACAAGATGCTGGGAATGACCAAAGTAATACACTTACTAAAGAATTAGAATCCAAAGAACCAAAAGAAAAATAAGAAACAAATGAAATTAATAGCAATGGACATAAGATATTACAGATAAAAGAAAAACAAAGTTCAACCATGCAGATTAGGGGAAACAAACAGGCTGAAGAGCAGTTTTTGTGAAAGGGGGAAAAAAAGGACTACAAGTTCATTATGACCGGAATAGGCCTAACTGCCAAAAAAGCTGATTTGATTTTAGGTTTCACTAATAGAACCATAATGCACAAAATGAAGGAAATAATAGCTCTGCTCAGGGGCGCCTGTGGCTCAGGTCATGATCTCAGGGTCCTGAGATCCAGCCCTGAGTAGGGCTCCACACTCAGCAGGGAATCTCTTTGTCCCTCTCCCTCTGCCCTCTCTGCCGCTCATGCTAAGAAATAAACAAAATCTTAAAAAAAAAAAGCTCTGCTCAATTTGACAGCACTCCTACATTCAATTTTGAATCTATTAGAGGCGTGCTTCTAAAAATGTAGGCCACAGACTGTTTCAGGGGATCAGTGAAGCTGAAACCCTTTCAAGTTTTTTTCTAAGTAATCTCTACGTCCAACGTGGGGCTCAAACTCACCACCCCAAGATCAAGAGTTGCATGTGACTGCTCTACCGACTGAACCTGCCAGTCCCCACCCCTGTGAGGCTGAAAGTCTTTTCATAATAAATACATCATTTGTCTTTTTCACTGTGTTGTTATTTTTGCATTGATGATGAAAAAGCCTAAATAGAGGGTAAAATTACTGGTGTTTTAACATGAATCAAGGCAATGGCACCAAACTGAATGCCCTTTCATGATAAAAACAATAAACTAAGAGCAGAAGCAAACTTCCTCAACACGATAAAGGGCATTTATGAAAAATTCACAGCTAACATCATACTTGATGGTCAAACACTGAAAGCTTTCTCCCTTAGATCAGCAACAAGACAAAGATGTAAGCTCTCCCCATTCTATTCAATATTGTACTGGAGGATCTATCCAGGGCAATTAAGGAAAAAAAAGGGATTCAATTGATTCAATTGGAAAGGAAGTAATAAAACTATTTGCAGATGAGGTTATCTTGTATATAAGACAGTCTAAGGACTCCACTGTAACACTATTAGAATAGAAAAAAAAAGAATAGAAAAATTCGGCAAGGTTGCAAGATACAAGATCAATATATAAAAATCAACCGTATTTCTATAAACTTGGATTGTAAAATCTGAAAATTAAATTGAGAAAATAATAATTTCATTTCAATAATTTCATTTATACTAGCATTAAAAGGAATAAAATACCTAGAAATAAAATGATCAAAAGAACTGCAAAACTTATACTCTGAAAACTACAAAACATTGTAAAAAAAAAAAAAAATTAAAGATCTAAATAAATGGAAAAACATCCCATGTTTATGGACCAAAAGACTTAATATCGCTAAGATGGAAATACTGTCCAATATCATCTACAGAACCAACATAATCTCTATCAGAATCTGTCAAATAAGAAATATATATATATTGGTCTCTGCCCCAGCTCCTGATACTGAGCTAAAACACTTGTATTTTCCTGAGTGATGAAAATGATAGGAGCATCTTATATAGAGCTACTAAATCCTTTGGAATTTCCTGGGTGATAAATGCCTTTTTTTTTTTTTTTTTTAAGTAGGCTCCACACCCAACATGGGGCTTGAACTCACCTAGAGATCAAGAGTCACATGCTCTACCAACTGAGCCAGCCAGGTGCTCTGGAAACACCTTTTGTACGAATGAGGTAACTCCTGGATAGCTTCAGGGTGGGGGATGGTCACCAGGAAGACAAAGCCATGATTGGAAGTTTGGAACTTTCAGCCCCAACCCCATTCTCTGGGGAGGCTGGGGGAGGCTAGAGACCAAGTTAATAATGGATCACGCCTACGTCATGAAGCCTCCATAAAAATTCCTATAGTATGGTATAGGGAGAGCTTCCAGATTGGTGAACACATCCATGTACCAGAAGGGTGGCACACCCCAACACGACAGGGACAGAGGCCTCTGAACTCAGGACCCTTCTGGACTCATCCTCTATACTCCTTCATCTAGTTGTTCATCTGTATTCTTTAACATATGGTAAACTGGCAACGTAAGTTAATGTTTCCCTGAGTTCTGTGGGCTACTCCAGGAAATCGAGACCAAGGATCATGGGCTGAATCAAGACCCCAAGGCAGTAAAAGGGCGCCTGGGTGGCTCAGTCGGTTGAGTGTCCGACTCCTGGTTTTGGCTCAAGTCATGATCTCAGGGTTGTGAGATTGAGCCCTGCGCTGGGCTCTGCACTCAGTAGGGAGTCTACTTGGGATTCTTTCTCTCCCTCTCCCTCTGCTCCCCCCTTTCTCTCTCTCAAATAAATCTTTTTTTTTAAAGATTTTATTTATTTGAGAGAGAGAAAGACAGCAAGAAAGGGAACACAAGCAGGGGGAGTGGGCGAGGGAGAAGCAGGCTTCCCGCTGAGCAGAGAGCCCAATGTGGGGCTGGATCCCAGGACCCTGGGATCATGACCTGAGCCGAAGGCAGACGCCTAACGACTGAGCCACCCAGGCACCCCTCAAATAAATAAATCTTTAAAAAAAAAAAAAAGAGCCCAAGGTGGTAAAAAGAGTATCCATTTTTGGCTTCAGGTGTAGGTCATGAGCAGGGTATGAGGGCTTTCACACATAGGTAGAAGGGTGGGAACTCAAGCAGGATGATGAGTATCCATACAGACTAGCAGTCTGTATTGGTGATCAGAGCCCAAGTAGGGGAGGGGGTGTCCTCTGAAAGGGAGTTGCAGAGTATCAGCCCAAATAGAGTAAAGAAGGCATCCAGAGGGAGGGGCAACCTGTAGTTGGGCATCAGAGCCCAAAAGAAGTGAAGGGGGCACCCAGAAGGGCACCTCCAGCATAGTGAGGAAAAACCCTACCCTCACTGGAATGTTATCAGGATTAAACAGATAATATGTGTAAAGTATGTGAGCCCAGAGTAAGCACAGTCCAAGCATTTGCTATTAATGTACATAAGGGATCATGCCAAACACAGAGTATCCAACAAATGGTTGTTTACTCTATTATTACACCATTGTATTACACCCTAAATACCTCATCTACATACAACAACTAGTGTTTGGAAGATGAGCAAAATTATTTCTAAAAATTAACTTCCCTCCAACCACTTAGTAACACCTACGTCCCTTTCATGATTCCATTTTTCCACCCAGACGTCCAAATTGGCTCTTTCTTGTTTAGCTTTGGTTAACTTTTCCTTTCAGATTCCTTTAAACTCTCAACTCCCTTTCATCCTGACTTCTTCAAGATCTTTAAATTCACGTATTAACACAAAACCCATCATTTCCACAGAAACAACACTGGAAACACCTACGCTGGTGTGAAGAGCTTAAACAGACTCAATGAATATACAGCCCCCTCCTCACATCGGTACATAGTGCATAGCTTGGCAGAGGTCTTATGTGTTTCATACCTGTCCTTGTTTGGGCACATGCATGTACACCCCTATGTAGAGTCCCATGGAAGGGGAATAAGCAAGTCGTAATTTATGTCCAGTCCCAGCAGCGAGCCGAAGGTCTTTAAACGTGGGAACATACTCCAGCATGTCGGCGGCCATCAGGCACATCTGGTCCTGCCCAAGATGAGTCAACAAGTAGTGTCAAAGAATATCCAAGCTAGAAAACAAACTCCTTCCCTTTCGAAAGGAGGCACATCCATTACATCTACCACTCTTTTATCTGCTGAGGGACACTACAGGGTTTTTTAAAGGCTGAGATGAAAATATCTCTTCAGTCTGAAAAATAAAACCATCAACTGTTTTATGAATCTTAAAAACTACTTTATAGGGCAACCCATTTAGGACCCCTCTCACTCTAGACAGCTTTCTTTCCTTTCTGCTCTCACCCTCACTTAATAAACTTTCACTTCACCCTTTAAAAAAAACAAAAACTATTTTATCAACTTGCATTTCAAAAACATTTGTTCCTTTTTTAAAAAAACATTTGTTCCTCTTAAGTGAAGCGTATTCTCTGCACTATTTTAATTCTGTAGGATTCATAATTAAAAAAATATTTATATAAAAAGACCAATGTGTGAAAAATGAAGCTAAATGGAACTGAGTCTAGAAATGGCCTATACTTTCCAAACTAAGTGATCTTAATAATCTTTGAGAGAAACAGCAAGACTGATTTCAATTTTCTTACAATTCACAATCCTATTTTAGCTTATAGTAACTATAAATGTAGCATTTACCTTATAAGACCACATTCGTAGTTTATGATCCTGGCACAGAGCAAAGATGAAGGCATCGTGCTCAACACAATGAACAGCAAGAGCGAAGGGACGATCAGAAAGTCCCTGATCACCTCTAAAAACATAAGACCCAATTTTAGGGTTTTAGTGTTATAAATATCTGATTAGAATTTGTAATTAAAAAGATAAAGTTATAAATGTACGCTCTTAATCAGTAGAAGGAGCTAAGAGTTTACATACTGGTATAAGATAACTGTATTTTCTATTTGATTTACAATCAACCACTATGATACATTTTAAAAGGCTCTATATAACACAGGAATAGAGTTTTTTTTTTTTTTTAAGATTTTATTTGACAGAGAGAGACACAGCGAGAGAGGGAACACAAGCAGGGGGGAGTGGGTGAGGGAGAAGCAGGCCTCCCACCGAGCAGGGAGCCCGATGCGGGGCTCGATCCCAGGACCCTGGGATCATGACCTGAGCCGAAGGCAGACACTTAATGACTGAACCACCCAGGCGCCCAGGAATAGACTTCTAATCATCAAAAACTTTCTACTTCTAATATTACATAAAATTGGATTTGATAAGTCAGGGCAGAGCACTGAATGGAATATTGTGAGAATATATACGGAAAATCACTTTCTGCTATCAAGGTGTCCAAGGTGTGGCTCTCAGATAGAATGTGATGTTTTACAGACTCTTCTCCTTTTCAGTGTAATGCTTATCTGCCTTGGAGTAAGACTAATAAGTGCTGACCAGTGCAAAAATTAAATTCTTGGGCCCTCTGATTTTCCCACCAGACACCACTTACCTGATGGCTGTTGGCATCCAGCCTATAAGCAGTCGTTGCATTACTGAACTCTGTTTCAGTTCCACAACTGACACCATTCCTGTGAGATTGAAAACAGACCAATGATATCCAAGGCACCTCTTGGTTAGACTCAGAGAAACCCAACAAGAAGGATGCAACCATGAATAAGGTGCTTAGAACAGGTGACAGGCTTCTACATTTCTATATGAAGAAATTTTAGGATGCAGCCTATCCACATACATCCCACTTAAAATACTTTGAATCATTATTGGATCAATAAAAATAGCACTAACATATTCCTAGGGAAAACTTTTGCCATTTACAAACAGTAACCCTATTGCTGCTCAGAACAATCATTCTTCCCAAAAGAAACATTGGTTTCCTTTCATGTGCCAGGCACAGTTCTAGGTACTGAAGATTTAGCAGTAAATAAAACATAAAACAATAAGTTCCAAGACCACAGGTATTGTTTTATGTTTTATTTACTGCTAAATCTTCAGTACCTAGAACTGTGCCAGGGAGGAGGGCAGAAGCTAAATCAAGCAGAATGATAATAGGTGAAAGCAGGAAGGGTACAGTGAATGCTGTGGTGGGAGGTGCGTGTGTACGTGCAATTTTGAAAAGGGTGGTCAGAGAAGGCCTCACACTGAGGGATCAGAGTAAAGACCCAGAGGAGTTGAGGGAATAAGCCAAGTTAGTAACTGGAGAAAGACGGTCTCAGGCAAAGTCCCTGACGTAGGAGCGTGATCGGTATGTTCAAGGAACTGCAAGAAGGCATGAAACTGGTGCACAGAAGGCGAGGGGGAAAAAAAGAAGCTGAGGTTAGAGAGTCAGCAGGGGGGGGTCACTGTAAGATAATGTAAGGACTTTGGGTTTATTCAGCATGAGATGAAGAACAAACCCTCACTAGAGGGCTTTAAGCAATGGAGTGACATGATTCTACTAAGGTTTTAAATGTATCAGTCTGTCCCAGAAGTCTCTGTAGAGAGGTAAGGAGAGGTCTGAGGGATATTTAGGAAGCTAATGCAATAATCCAGGCAAGAGATAGTGGTGACTTGGAGGAGGTTATCAGCAGAACTTCCTCGTGTCAGTTAATTTAAGTATAGAACCTCAACCTGAAGGTAGATAAGTAGTCAACTCCTCTCTACTACAGGACTTAGGATAGGCTATCTTACAGCTATTTGATTTACAATCTTCCCACGCTCCAAAAAGGTTTACAATTCCTCATCCACTGTATACAATCTTACTTTCTCAGAAAAAAAACAGTACAAGCATTACAGACTCCTTAGGCAAGCAACACTGAATGATCATTTCAGGGGGAGCAGTGAAGCAATTCCTGCCATGGATGATGGGTATGGACTTCTAAGGTTTTTTTTTTTTTTAAAGATTTTATTTATTTGACAGAGAGAGACACAGCGAGAGAGGGAACACAAGCAGGGGGAGTGGGAGAGGGAGAAGCAGGCTTCCCAATGAGCAGGGAGCCCGATGCGGGGCTCGATCCCAGGACCCTGGGATCATGACCTGAGCCGAAGCCAGATGCTTAACCGACTGAGCCACCCAGGCGCCCCGGACTTCTAAGGTTTTAATGCCAACATTCCTTGTTTAAAATTAAATCCAAGTTCAGTTCCCCTTCTTACCAGGTATGTCATAAGGAGGTAGTTTAAGAACAAAGATTCCCCCAGAAGCAGATGGTAGAGCAAACAGAGCCTCCCCATCATTGCTAAGCCAGGCTGCCGAGGTGGTAGAATTAGGGGAGAGTCCAGGTACAGCTGGAATTAACTGAGAGTTGCAAGGATCCCTGAAATCAACTTTTCCAATGTCAGTAAATATGGACTGCATCTGACTTTCAATTACCAACTCCTGTGGAGTAATGAAAAAGAAAAACCTGTTAAATCAAAACAAGCTGAATTTTGCTCAGTTCCTTCCAATTGCTACAAAAGCTTTTTTTTCTTTTAAGATTTTATTTATTCATCTGAGAGAGAGCTCGTGAGCTCGAGCATGAGCAGGGTGAGGGGCAGAGGGAGAGGGAGAAGCAGACTCCCCGCTCAGCAAGGAGCCTGAGGCAGGGCTCAATCCCAGGACCACGAGATCATGACCTGAGCCAAAGTCAGATGTTTAACTGACTGAGACACCCAAGTGCCCCTACAAAAGTCTTTAAAGTAAGAAATGAATTAGCCTAAAAAGAAAGCTAATTTTAATAAAAATTATTTCTTCAACTTAAAATGTGCCTGATCATTTTAAATAGTAACTATCAAAGTATGCTTGGTGAGAGGTTACAAATCCAATTTTCCTTCAATTTCCAAAGGACACTGCTCCAGCATTAAATTTCTGACAGCCAGAGTAATCTGAGAAATAAAGGATATTACCCTTAACCAACTTACACTCCTATACATCCGGGAAGGGTGTGGTAAGAGTAATCTGTGCACTGTTTGATTGGTTAATATCAAGATTATCACATGATTCTGAGTCTCAGAGACATGAACCCCTCCAGGTAAGAGGCTGCAATTTTGGAATTTGAGGCGAACTGTATTATTCAACAGATTTACGTCCAGTGACTCTTCCACCAGCTCCAATGTATCTCCAGAGGTCTTCCTATTAAAAAAGAGACATTTGTTCACAAAGTTTATGCTTTTCTTTCTAATTGACTGTTGCTTTGAAATATATGGGAATAGTTTCCAAGTGAATTTTCCCAAGTTGAATGTTTTGGGTAAACAAATTCAGATCAATTTTACAATCCAAACCATCACAGTATATTCGCTTACAAAACACAGCACAATATAAAATTCAAATCTTATTATAGTCTCTGTTCAATGGAGGCATTTCCAAACTTGATGACCCATTTATTTAGAACAATGATACTCAACGCAATTAAGCCCCCTATAAAGACAATTCACACCACACCCCCCATTACTTGCAGTGGAATGTGGCCTCCACTATTAGTATCATAGCATCATACTACAGTGACCTTAATAAATGTGACTCTTTCCCCTTCTGTGACTTGTTCCTGCTAGGTAGGATGCAGGGCAGACTTCTTCAGGTGCATCTCTGCCATATGGTAGCCTTGGATCATAGAAAACACCATGCTGGGAAAGCCCTAACTTCTCATCACCTTGTTTACCATACTGCCTGCATCTGCCCCCAAAGAGCACATCTCCTTCCAGCAATTCAAGGGTAATCTCTAACTTTCTCACATATATCCCTCCTGCGTCCCTCTCTCCTTCCTCCAAAGCCTTCTCTCTACATTCACGTATGCTTTTCCCTGGTCTCTCCCCTTCCATCACCCTGTTCCTGCCCCGACCCGGCTACCCCAATCTCTCCTTTCCCCTCCATGGCCACATCTTGTCTTTTTCCTCACCTCCCTCGTACTCTTCAGCCTGCCCTCTTCTCACCAAGGTCATCACACCAATCCCAATGGATTCCTCAGTCCTGTTCTTACTTGACCGCTTTGCAGCATTCTACACACTTGACCATGTTGTCCTGAAAAGTCTCTTTGACTTCCATGATACCACCCTCTCCTGGTTTCATTCCCCCATCTCTAGGTACTCCCTCTCCTCTTTGACCTGATGCCTACTTTTTATTTCTCAAACCCTGTTCCTGGGTCATCTTATCTGCTCACTGTACACATTCTCTCAAAGCACATCTTATCCACTCCCAAAACTGTATGCCCCGGGGCGCCTGGGTGGCTCAGTCGTTAAGCCTGCCTTTAGCTCAGGTCATGATCCCAGGCTCTCAGCGGAGAGCCTGCTTCTCCCTCTCCCACTCCCCCTGCTTGTGTTCCCTCTCTTGCTGTGTCTCTCTCTGTCAAATAAATAAATAAAACCTTAAAAAAAAAAAAAAAACCTGTATGCACCACGTGAATTCTGATGATTTCCTAGGGCTCCTTTCTGCTAACTCATGATATGTCATCAGCACAAGTTTCTGGATCCTCAACCTGATCTCTGAACAACTGCTTCACCTTCCTGCCTTGTGGTTAAAGCTGGGTCCTGGATCTTGCCTGAGGACACTCCTGGAGCCCTCTCTAGTGGTGGTAAGCTTTCTCTACCACACTCCCTTTAGGGGGTGCCTCAAGGTAGGGCACAGATGTCTTGCTTGCTCCCCACTACCACTCTGGGTCATTGTTCCTCCCTCCCTGCCCAAACCACTCAGCTCTCAAGTGTGTGCAACCAGATACCACCTGCGATCCTTGCCCACTGCAGTTCCCTACAGTCCTGTTTCATTCCTTGAAGCCTAGCTCCTGCTCAGTCACTCTCTCCCACACTTCCTCTGCCATATCTATACTTTTTCAAATATCTCACTTTCTTCAATTCCCCTCCTGTAGTGATTGCCCTTGACTGCATATAAATACACTGGTATATTTCTTCCACACCTTTGCATTGTCCTCCTGCTACCATTTGACTCCTCTGCTTCTCTCTCAGTAATGCTCCTTAAGAGAGCTGTTTTGTTCTCACAATTCCTGTCCTCTTCTTCTCTCCAGAGCTCAGTTTCTGACAAGGTCACCAATGATCTCCACCATTCAAAGGTCTATTTTCACTTCTCTGACTTATATGCAGTATTTAACAGTTTTTCATTCTTCTTCTCCTTGAAATATTTCCGTTAGCTTCTGGGATACCACTCTCTTTTCTTTCAACTCTTTACTTCCCTAGTTATTCCTTCCCAGTCTCCGTATCTTCCTAAATATTGGAGTGCCCCAGTGTTTAGTCCTCAGACCTCTTTTTCTCATCTATACAAGTTTTCAGCAGGGGGCCATTCTACCCCACTCCCTAAGGACATTTAACAGTTATCTGGAGGTATTTTTGCTTGTCACAACTGGGAGGGGGCTGCTATTGGTCTGAAGTGTGTAGAGACCAGGGATGCTGCTCAATACCCTATAATGTACAGGGCAGTCCCCTACAACAAAGACTTTTCTGGCCCCAAATGCCAATAGTGCAGGTGATCTCTAGGTGATCTCATTCAGTGTAACAGCTTTAAATGCCATCTAATACAAGCAATTCCCAAATCTGTAACTTCAGCCCAAACTTTCCACTGAACTGGTTATTGTTTCAACACTTCCACTTGGATATCTAACAGGGATTTCAAATGAAACCTGTCCAAAACAGAATGCTTAGACTAGCAAACTTGAAAAACGCCTGCTTTACCTGCACTCTTTCACAACTCAATTAACGGCATCTTTGTAACTTCCAGTTGCTCAAGCCAAAAATCTGGAGGTCACCCTTGACTTTTTCTGTATACTCTATATCTGATTTTTTTTTTTAAAGATTTATTTATTTGAGAGTGAGAGTGAAAGAGAGAGTACACGAGCCAGGTGAGGGGCAGAGGGAGAAGCAGGTTCTCTGCTGATCTGGGAGCCTGACTCAGGGCTTGATCCCAGGACCCCGGGATCTTGACCTGAGCTGAAGGCAGACGCTTAACCGACTGAGCCACCCAGGCGCCCCATAACAAACTCATCTTTAAAGCATAGCCACAATCAGAATATTTCTCACTGCCTCTACCAATGCCACCCTGGTCTAAGCTGCCATTATCTCTTGTCTAGACTGTGGCACCAACCTCCTAATTGGTCTCCCTGCTTCTACCCTTTCCCTGCTATACTCTGTTCTCAACATCTAAAATGTTGAGATGTTCTAAAATCACAATTTAGATCATGTCATTCCTCCACTTAAAACCCTTCAATGACTTCTCGCCATCTAATTCAGAGTAAAAGTCAAAGCCTTAAAATTACCAACAAAACCCTGATTTGACCCTCAGCTACTTTATTAATCTATCCTTTGGTCATTCAGCTGCAGACTCCTGGCTCCTTGCCATTCTCTGAACATAACAAACAAGCTCCTGTCTCAAGGTTCTTTGCATTTTGGTTCCTTTTTCTTGGAAGATTCTACCTGGAAATCTTATTCCCCAGATATCTACTTCCTCTGTTCAAATATCAACTTATCACTGGGTCTTTCCCAAATAAAAGATCAACTCCTGCAGGCATCCCCCTTCCCTCTAATCTTCCTTCCCTGTTCTCTATTCCACTTATCACTGGACAAACTGTACTTACTTATTTGGGGGGATTACTGTTGTTTATTGCCTATCTGCCTCCACGAGGGCAGGGACTTTGTTTTGTTCCCTGCTGTACTCTCAGTCCCTAAACACTGACTAGAACATATTAGGCACTAAAAAGTATTTCTTAGATTTGCATGTCAACACAGGTCTCTTTTCAGATACTTGGACCTATAAATTTCAATGCCTACATGGCATTTCTGAAGGGCTGCTACATGGGTACTTCAAATTTAATATATCTGAAAGAATTATTCACATCTCTCCAAAATTCATCTTCTGCATATAAAAGGCAACCCTGCCACCCAGTATCTTGTTAGTCATACCAGAAACCAGGAAACTGTCTTTGCTCCCTCCATGTCCCTTCCCATCTTTTACCCCACATTCAATCTATCACCAAGTCCTAGCAAAGCTACCCTTTTTTCCCCCCATTGAGGCATTTTATTTGCCCATATTACATCCCTAGAAAAAGAACCCCAGGATTTTCCCTCCTGTGTGTTTTGTCTTGCTTCTTCATGGTCCATGATGCCAGCTGAGTTGTCAGTACAATGAAACCAAACTGGCGGAACAGGAGCAGGTTATTCTGCCATTTTTCTAGATCTTTGAGCTGTACATCAAATCTGGGGCTGATCACTCCACATTTGTTTAACCTGCCCGTGAGGTTCACAACAATTTCCCCTGCTCTGTGATCATCAATGATTTCAAATTCGCCAATGTAACCATGCTTCATCATCACTGTGAGAAACCGGACTATGACTCTGGAGCATAGCCTAACAACCTGGTGTTTGCCTCTCTTTTCAGCGTTGTTAATGTTCTTGAGAGCATCTGCCAGGACATTCATGTGCACCATTATGGCGGCACGGAAAAATGGCGGAAAAATGTAAAGCTACCTTCTGAATGCATCTCAAATCCATCTATTTCTCCTTTCCAAGCTACTCCCACAATTGAGCCACCAGCATCTCTTACTTGGTCCATCATAAGAGCAAGAATTTTTTTTTTTTTAATTATACCTATCTAATCCAAATTCATTTTCCATGAAGTAAACTGATTTTTTTCTTTATGCAATTTTGATTATGTTAGTAAAGAGTTAGTAACTCTTTAAGACCCTTCAATGATTACTCAGTGTACTTGGGGAAAAAATCCAAAGTTGTCAGGAAGGATCTGAGTCCTGTTTACCACCCCCTCTACCCCTCAGTCTCTGCATCTCTCACATCACTTTCCATTTCACCCACTGCACTTAAGCCACACAGACTTCCAGTCAGTTCCTCAAATCTGCCCAGGTCTTTCTACCTCATGGATTTTGCATATGGTGATCCTACATGCTGACTGCTCTCTCCCCAACCACCCACCTGGGAAACTTTTCATCCTACAGATCTCAGGTTAAATGTGATATCCGTGAAAGCCTTCCCTGTCCCACCAATAACATTTGGTTCTCTCATTAGCCTCTCACAGCCCCTATATTTTTCTTCTGAGGCAAGTACGAAAAATTTATGTTTATACACCTATGTTGTGGTCCCTTACTTTAGTGTCTTTTTCCTTCATAAAACTGCCCCATGAAAGGTGTCTCCACATCTATTCTCAAACAGCTACAACATCTTCCATGATGGAAATGATGGTTGCTTTTGTTCACCACGTCATCTGTAGTAAACTTAGCACAGTGCCTGACATGAAGAAGCTCAAATGTATTTGTAGAATGAAGGAAGCTGTAAAACACTATAAAAACACAATGAGTTCAAGTTTAAACCTGGTCTTTGGGGCTTAATTCCATAAGCTTTATTTCCTCTGCTTTTGGTGCTGCCTGGAAGGGCACCTCTACTAGAACTCTGTGTCCCCTTAATTTTCTCCTGATTCAGAAATCAAGAGAAAACAGTCTTTCTCTTTTCCTGACTGTCCATTACCGCCTCGGAGAATGACACTTTGGCAATAGCCGCAAAAACTCAAAGGCCCAACAATCCGACCTTCCAGGGGGTTCGGCGAACACAGCTCTTACCAATGAATGAACCTGTTTCTGGTGACGGAGAACAACTTGCCACTTTCCATATAGTAGAAGCCTCCCGCGCTCTCACTGTATTTCACCGCTCCAGCCAAGGCATTTGCAGTCCCTGCAAAAGGAAAGTGGTCAGCCTGCACACCTGGTTATCTCGGGATGACAGAGACTGAGGGCGCTGAGAAAGCAGAGGGTGACGACTGACAAACTATACAAAGAGAAAGGGAAGAAAGGAGGACGACGTAGGACACCACGGAAGCTCTGATCCCGGGGATATAGGCATGTGGACTTAGAGGAGTATGAACCCGGGGTCAGAGATTTAAGGATCCATGGGAGGAGCCCGAGGGGAAGGATCGGATCGCGTCCTCCTTGGCTGCTTTCGTACCAATGCCGCAAACTGTGAATTCCCGAAAGTGTCTCGGCCTCTCGCGCTCAGCACCGCTGAGCTCCACGAAGCTCCGTTCCAGGGCTCCCGCTGCCGCCATCTTCCCGCCGCCACCGCAAGGCCCGACGGGACGCGAGCTAGGCCGGGCGGCTATCGTCACTTCCGGGGCGGGCGGAGTTGCAGACAGGTGAGGAAGCCTGCGGAGAAGGGAGGGTACGACAGCCCGTTGCGAGGCTTCCAGTCAGTTGGCTGGAGAACGAGAGTGGACAGGGAGGAAGCCAGACGAGAAAGTGGCAGGGGTAGTCGACTCTGCTTGCGGGAACCTTCGCCTTGCCGGCTGGGACACCCCCCCAAAGGGGGCGGTACCCGTTTCCCGGCGTCCTCGGGGCAGGGGGCGGGGCCGGGTTTGTTTCCATTTTGAAAACCCGGGCGCGGGCGGCAGGCGGCGGGCGGCGGGCGGCGGGGCTGAGCTTCCCGGGAGGGGCGAGGTCTGGGGAGTCCGGGCAGCTTAGCGCCCTCTGCCGGGTTCCGAGTTCGCGGTCAGCCTTCCCTGCGTTGGGGTGGCAGCCTGTAAATCGCCTGGTCTCCTTTTCCGCCTTCAGCGACACGTGGGATGGGGAGAGGGCGAGTACTGGGGAGAGATTTTTTTGTGTTGGAATCTTTTCAAGAGACTATTCGTGTGTTCGTGTGTTCTGAAACGTAATGCCTTCAATAAAACGTTGATGCAACTTGCTGCGGTTATATAAATGCTGCTCACTTGCATTCGGGAAAGGAATTTGCTTTTCGTTCCATTCCTGATCTGGATGTTTGGAAGATACTGTGGCTTTACCCGTATCTAGGACACAGAGGATGCTCAGTATTGGGGGAAAATGCTGATTTTCAGGGGAAAAGGGTTTTTCCTTGATAGTCACCGTTTGTTAAGCAAATGTTATTTTTACCGTCAGCAGTGAATGCAACCCTTCTCTATCATTCTCTGTTTCATTGATCCTATTCCGACCAGTCCCCCCCCCCCCCTCTTTCCAGCTTGCTCCTAGGACTCCAATTCTAGCAATGCAATCCCTCCATCCCACCTAGGATCCATTGTTCTACCACCTTTTCACTGTCCTCCATTTCCTTGAGATTTCCTTCTTGCTCTGCTTAAATTCCATTTAAATTACTCCTTTGCCTAGCTCTCTTCATTATCCTCTGGTAAAAACTAGAACCTTGATTGAAGCCAAGTCTGCAGCTGAACAGGGCTGGAGAAAAATATACAATCATCAGACATGCCTTCCTCTACCTCCATCATGATTCTAAACCTCCAGTGGGTCCATACTGCTACCCAGCAAACACATTGTGTTTCCCTTGTCCACTTACTGTCCTAGATGAGTATTTCACACCTTCTGCAACCTGCAACATCTTCCCCCTCCTCCTCACTCTCAGCTTGCTTTTTCACTTAGAAAATTGATGGAATCAAAAGAGAATTTTCCTCACTACCGCCTCTCCCTACCTGCCTTCCTCTCCTGTTACTATAAATTGAACTGCCCTTGAACTTGTGGAAGAACAACCTTTTTACATTTCCCCCTGCTCAAGGACACCATTCCAGCAGTTCTCTCTCCTACATCTTCAGTTCTGCCCACCACCCTCCGCCCCCCCCCCCCCAATTTACGGAATTGTTTCCCCAAGCACACAAACATGCTGTTATTTCTCCTTCCTGCCACACACAAAAAACTCCTCATTTGATCTCCACTCTCTGGCTACTATCTGCTACTTCAGAGCTCCTCTTCATTGTCACAGCAGAATTCAAGAGCTTTCTGTTTAATTTTTCTTTCAGTTTCTCTTAAATCCGCTTTTATCAGGCTTTGGCGCCTGTTGCTGTACTGAAACGGCTTTTTTTCAAGATCTCCAGTGACATCCATTTTTATCTAACGCTGAACTCTCATTCCTTTTTTTTTTTTTTTTTTTAAGTAATCTCTACACTCAACATGGGGCTCCAACTCATGAGCCTGAGATCAAGAGTTGCGTGCTTTATAGACTGAGCCAGCCAGGTGCCCCTGAACTCTGATTCCTAAACTTACTTGACCACCTGCAGCATTTCACCAATTGCTTTCTTGCCCACTTTCTTCACAATGGCTTTCAGGACACCACACTCTCTTGATTTCCTCTCATTTCACAAACTTACTTTTCAGACTCCTTTGCTAGTTGCTTCTCTTTTCCCCATACCTCTTAATGTTGGAATGCCTCAGAGCGCAATTCTTGGTCGTGTCTACGCACGTTCCCCTGAGGATTTCATGTAGTCTCCTGGCTTTAAATACTAGATCACTGTATTCCGATAATTCCCAGATGTATATCTTCAGGCTAAACCTTTCTCCCTTGAACTCCTACCTTAGGTATCCAACTGCCTGTTCCTTTCTTTCTTTCTTTTTTTTTTTTTTTAGAGTTTTTATTTTTTAAGTAAGCTCTAGGCCCAAGATGGGGCTTGAATTCACAACCCCAAGATCAAGAGTCACGTGCTTTACCAACTGAGCCAGCCAGGTGCCCCTTGAGCACTCCATCTTTACATTCATCTGCCTACTAACGTCGCTGGGATTCCCCCACAGACACATTAACTCAACATATCCAAGACATAACTCGTTTTACCTCCCTCTCCACTATCATGTGATTCTCTTATCTATGTGCCTTTCACTACCCAGTGACCTGATTTAGAAATCGAGGACTCATACTGGGCACAGAGCCCCTAAAACCCTTGGAATTCCCTAAGTGATGAGTGGAAAAAGGTGTCTTTTTTAAATGTTAATGAAGTGACTTTTGGAAAGTCCCTAGGTAGCTTAATGGTGGGGGCTGGTTGCCAGGAGAAGCAACCACATGATTTGAAGTTTGGAGCTTTCAGTTCCACCTCCAACCCCCAATCTCTGGGGAGGCTTGAGGGGTTGGAGATTGAGTTCAGTGACCAATGGCCAACAATTTAATCAACTATGCCTGTGTAATGAAGCCTCCATAAAAACCCAGAAGGATGAACCAGAATGAATCCTGTACTGTGCCCCAAACTCCATGGGGACAAAAGCTCTTACATTCAGGACCTTGCACTATGTATCTCTTAATTTGGCTGTTCATTCACATCCTTTAACATCCTTTGTAATATACCAGTAATCTAGTAAGTAAACTGGTTTCCTGAGTTCTGTGAGCCGCTCTAGCAGAGAATTGAACCCAAGGAAGGGGTTGCGGGAACCTCCAATTTATAGCCAGTGGTCAGAAGCACATGTGACAACCTGGACTTGTAATTGGCATCTGAAATGGGAGCAGTGTTGTGGGACTGAACCCTTAGCTTATGGGATCTGACGTTATTTCCAGGTAGGTAGTGACAGAATTGAGTTAAGTTTGCGGGACACCTGGTCAGTGTCCACAGGAGTTGAATTAATTGCTTGGTGGTGTGGAAAAATCCCACACACTGGACCTCCGAAAGGCCTACCATTAGATACCATCACAGTAGCGATTAGGTTTCAATATATGAATTTTGGGGGGTGGGGAGGACACAAACATTCAGTGTCCAGCACTTCTTAAAATATCAGGGGCTCAAAACAAAAACAAAAACAAAAAACCAACCTTTCAGGGGCTCCCTGTTGCCCTGGCTTCCAAGGTCTTTTCCCAATTCAACATGATCTACCTTCTTTAAATTCTTGAATCTCCTTGAGGGAGAAACACTTATGCTGTCCCAATTGTAGACTGCCTTCTTCATACAGTCCTAGTGGAATCTGGTCATATCTGGGCACACCTGTCAAACCTGTGTGGTGGGTATACCTGAAACCTACTTGCTAAGGGACTGAAAAGGGACTTGGGGAAAAAATTTTGCCTTAGGGCAGAAGGAACCCGTAGTAACTTGATTTGGGATTTAGTTGTAGTGGTTCATTCTGAGTACATTGTGATTTGCCTACCTCCCTGGCCTCTACTGGACTTGCATCTGATGCCTATGGAAAGCAGAGTTGGGGGCTAGGAGGACAAAAAGACTAAGTACATTACAGCATCTATAAAACATTGAGGGCCCTCGAGTACTGCCTTGAGACTGCTCTTGTAGGGGGAGTGCAAAAAGAGAGAGGCCAGTATTCCTCCTGTACAGATGACCCCAGAGCAGGTTTTCCAGTTTAAAGGCTCCAGCATATTGGGGGGGGGCTGCCTTCCAGAAGTCTGGTGACCAAAGGGGTGGGGTGAGTACTTGGCAAGGACTGGTGTCCTATATAGCAGGGCTGGTCCCCTGAGGAGACTGGAGCCCGGCCAGCAAAGCAATTCTTAAGAGTAACTTGGTGGATTTACCTACATTACTTGGAAATGGATTGTTTCATAAACAGATTATTTCATGAACATAGACACTCCCTGGGCACTCCCAGAAATGCTTTAGGGACTGTTTAGCAGGGACCGACAATCTGCCGGCATGAGTAGGTGGGGGAGAAGTCAGTGGAATGTATTCATGTTTTTAATGTAGCTGTGCTTTTACCCACAGGCTGGGGAAATGTGGGTTTTACTGTATTCAGACTATTTCACTTGTTTCTGTCATGCTCGCAGAGTTCTGTGTGCCTCACTTGTATGAGTTTTCCATTGCTGCTATACTAAATTACTATAAATTTAGTGGCTTAAACAGTTACATAGGTTAGAAGCCCAACATGGGTTTTATTGGGCGAAGATCAAGGGATCAGTAGTGCTGTGTTCTTTCTGGAGACTGTAAAGGAGAGTCCCTTCCCTCATCTTTTCCATCTTCATGAGGCCAACACGTTCCTTGACTTGTGGCCCCTTCTTTCATCTTCAAAGCTAGCAATGTCGTCACATTTCTCTCTGACCTCAGGGAAAAGTTCTCTGCTGTGATTAGGTTGGGCCCATCTGGATAACCTAGAATAAACTCCCCCATCTCTAGATTCTTAAACTTAATCACATCTACAAAATTACTTTTGTCATGTGAGGTAACAGTCACAGGTTCCAAGGATTAGTACGTGGACATCTTTCTTGGGTGGGGGGAGGGACATTTTTCTACCCACCATGTTTATGATTTACTAAATATATCATATTCTGATTTCATTTTTATAACATCCTTGAATGGTAGTATTATTCCTGTAAGGTAGATAACTTTTCTGAAGCACCGGTTAAAAATATAGTTCCTAGGGCACCTGGGTGGCTCAGTCGTTAAGCGTCTGCCTTCAGCTTGGGTCGTGATCCCAGGGTCCTGGGATCGAGCCCCGCATTGGGCTCCCCGCTCAGCGGGAACCCTGCTTCTCCCTCTACCACTCCCCCTGCTTGTGTTCCCTCTCTCGCTGTGTCTCTCTCTGTCAAATAAATAAATAAAATCTTAAAAATATATATATATAGTTCCTATCAGTTGTTACCTTCTTAACCCAGAGTTCAATCTTAGCATTACTCATTAGTAAGGACAACCAGATATAAAGTGATTCCTGGGTGATACAAAGTGAAGGAAATGGCATCATCTGTAGAAGATTTTTAAACAACTTGATTAAGATATTATTAACATGCCATGAAATTCGCCCTTCTAAAGTCTACAGTTCAATTATTTTTGTATATTTATATAGCTACGTAACCATCACCACAATCTAATTTTGAAGTATTTATGTCATCCCCAAAAGAAATCTAATACCCATTAGAAACTACTACTATGGAGGGGCGCCTGGGTGGCTCAGTCGTTAAGCGTCTGCTTTCGGCTCAGGTCATGATCCCAGGGTCCTGCGATCGAGTCCTGCATCGGGCTCCCTGCTCATCGGGAAGCCCGCTTCTCCCTCTCCCACTCCCCCTGCTTGTGTTCCCTCTCTCGCTGTGTCTCTCTCTGTCAAATAAACAAAATCTTAAAAAAAAAAAACAACTACTACTATGGAAGCTACTAATCAATTTTATTTTTTTAAAGATTTTATTTATTTATTTGAGAGAGAGAGAGAGAAGGGGCAGAGGGAGAGAATCTCAAGTAGACTCCGTACTGAGTGCAGAGCCCAACACGGGGCTCAATCTCACGACCCTGAAATCATGACCTGAGCCTAAATCAAGGGTCGGATGCTCAATGGACAGAGCCACCCAGGTGCCCCCTTTTTTTTGTTTTTCGTTTTTCATGCCCCAACGACCCTGAGATCAGGACCTGAGCTGAAATCAAGAGTCGGATGCCTTAACAGATTGAGCCACCCAGGTGCCCCTCAATTTTATGTTTCTATAGATTTGCCTATTCTAGATATCTCATATAAATGGAATCATACATATGTGGTCATTGGTTTTAACTTAGCATAATGTTTTCAAGGCTCATCTATGTTATAGTATGAATCAGTACTTCATTCCTTTTTATGGCCAAACAATATTCCATTGTGTGAATATACTACATTTTATTTATCCATTCATCAGTTGCTGGACATTTGAGTTGTTTTACTTTCTGGCTATTATGAATAATGCAGCTATGAACATATAAAGTATTCTTGCAAAAATGTTTAATACAGATTGTGGTAGGCAGAATAATGGTCCCCGCACCCCCCAATGTCTACATCCTGTTCCCTGGCATCTGTAATATGTTACCTTACATGGCAAAAGGTACTTTGTACGTGTGAGTAAGGTTAAGGACCTAGAGATGGAGAACTGAGCCTGGATCACGCAGGGGGGCCCTATCTAATCACATAGTCCTTAAAAGAAGAGCGCATTTCCCCTCTGAGGTCAGAAAGAGATGTGAGGAAGATGAGACATGTGTGATATTTCTGGCATTGTGGATGGAGCAAGGAGGCCAGGAGCAAGGGATATGGGCAACCTCTAGAAGCTGGCAAAGGCACAGGGATAGATTTTCCCCTACAGCCTCCAGAAAGGAATGGAACCCTGCCAACACCTCGATTTTAGTCCATTGATTTTTGCTCTTAGCCGAAGGGAGCTGCCTTGTCTTTGATTATGTCCCCTGCATCCATTGAGTGGTCAACGTGGAAAGTCTAAAGGTCCTGCCCCCTCACCTTGATCTAGGACCACTCCAAAGGACCATTTCAGCTCCAGAATGCTGTGTGGGATCCGCTGAAGCCTCAACTTCTCCTCTGCCCAATCCTGCCTCCCTTAGTCCCTTCAAGGCACTGTTTCCGAGAGCACTCTCCAGTAAACCTCCTGCACGCAAATCTCTGTCTCTGAGTCTGTTTCCTGGGCCAACATGACACATGCCCATGACATCTTGTCCAAAGATGGGCAGCCAGCTAGGAACCAGCAAGAAAAAGAATTTGGAAAGGGAAAAAGGTTAAGGGGAGGACCTATTCTAAATTCCAAAATTGGTGATGAAATGTTGGAAAGAACATCAGCTGGGCTTTAGAAAAATTGGGTTCAAGTTCTAGCTCTGCCTCAATGACCTCTTGTCACTCGGCAAGCCACCCATCTCCCTGCCTCTGTTTCTAAGAAGAGGGTGTTGTACTTACTCATCTCCAAGGTCTCTTCTGGCACTCAACTCCGGATCTGTGGCCCGAAAGCCAGAGACAGGCTAGATCTTCAACTTCATCTCTCCCTAATTTCCAGGCTCAGAACCAAGTCCCCTCCAGGAGTTCCCCAGGACTGAGGACAGGCATGTCCTTCCTGAGTTGAAATTGACTTGAGTTGCACAACCCGTGGCCTTTGGGACACTTAGTTCCGACTGTGATAATTTCTTAGATGCTTGTCTATCACCATGCTTTCCATATGCACTCTTTTCTCATTCCTTTGTTGATAGTTAAATCTTTTTTCATGTATAAAAAATAAAATGTCATGCAATCAATGTGCATATTTTATGTAGTCTCCTTCCAAAAATGTTGTTAAGTTGATGGGGTGTCTTACAGTTTCCTAGGAATCCAGTAAGTACAGTTTTTACAGTAAGCTGTCTCATTCCTTTTCTTATCTTCAACATCCATCAGAGTTCTTGAAACTTAAAAGTACCTAAAAATGTTTGAAGGAATTACTAAGTGAATGAATAAATGCACATAGGCATCATTAGAAAACTCAAATACTCTTTGAACCATTAATATGCTGGTGCAGGTGTGGTTGTAATGTAAATGGAATCATATTGCCATCTAGTGGTTAGGTGGTGACTTCGTTTAGAAGCAAAATGCAGAATGTTACTAAATGTTACTAAAATGATTTGGGCAGCAAGTTTTACTTACAGATACTTTTGTAAGAAAAATACTTTTATGACTTGACACTATATTCTGAGAATGTCTTGGTTCGCTAGATCGCCATTAATGAATACCTATAAGTGAACAGTATTGTAGATAGAACTTTAAGGCAGATTTTCCTAACCTAACTTAATAGCTATTCCTTGAAAGGAGAATTTGGTGGTTTAAATAAGTTTGGGAAATGATGATTAATAAAGTTAAGCGTATTTATCTTCTGCAGAACTTTTCAGAGACATTAATAGGATTGTGTGCTTTGTGATGCTCCACGAGGGGCTTATGCATGATATGTTTTCCAGATGCTTTATATTCTTTTCAAGGAACAACTCATTGGACCATTGTTTTATGGGAAAAAATTTTCAGAAACACTGCTTTCTTGTCATTTTCCCCATATGTTAAAAATATCTATTAGCGCACAGCGTTTCCTGCCTACAAAGCCTTCTTTGACCTTCATCGCCATGTTCTAGATGCAGTAAGTTCAGGAAGCATCAGAATAAGTCAGTAGTCATACCTTACATTTATATAGATCTTAGTTTTGAGGTAAGAATTTCTCTAATTGACATTAGTATTATTCCACGTTGAACATTTTTTTTTTACACAATCTACTTTCATTTTGGATTGTAGGAGTGTGGTTTCCTGCTGTTTGGGCTATTACTTTCAATAATTGCTATTAGCGATGGTAGAAATGACTCGGGATTCAACCACAATGCAAATGACTTAAGATTTTCTATTTCTGCCTTTTGCCTACATGCTGTGGTATTAACCAAAGCTACTAATTTCTGAATTCCTGGCAGGAGCTCATTTATTCTTTCAGTCTTTTTTTTTTTTTTTAAAGTAAGCTCTAATCCAACGTGGGGCTTGAACTCACGACCCCAAGATCAAAAGTCACACGCTCTACCCACTGAGCCAGCCAGGCACCCCTATTCTTTCAGTCTTGCTTGCACACCTGCCAAGAGCTAGGCTCTGGGGTTAGAAAGACCCCCCCGGATTTGAGCTCTGTGCAGTCAGGGATCTTGTCCACCTTATTTTCTGTTGTATCTTTAGTGCCTGGTATGGTGCCCAGCACTGACGAGGTGTTCATGAAGTATCTGTGGACAGAATACACGTTTCCCATTCTCTGCTTTTGAGGTTTAATAGAGGGACAAAAGAGAACTACAGATAACAGTAAAGTGTGATCATTATTATAAAAGACATGTACGAGGAGGAGAAAGAACATTCTAGGCAAAAAGTCTTAAAGGCATGGAGAGAACCGGGGTGAGGAGTGGTTGAAAAGGCTGGGGTCACAGTGGGGAGAGGTTTTTCTTTCTTGCCAAAGAGTTTTAGTTTACTTAAATGTTTCTCCTTACAACTCAGTGCTTAAAGTACTAGGTAAATTCTTGTAGATATAAGAATTTTATTTCAGCTCAAATCAAACTTTGCAAGTAATTTTTCTGAAAGGTTGACTTGACCTCAGGATAGAGATCCTTGCTGAAAGGGAGAAGACATCGCTGTAAGGTCGGTAAATCCATGGGGGAAGCCAGGATGACATTGTAGTAGTTAGTAATTGCCCCGACATACTGTCTAGAATTCTGAAACTCTCCCCAGGAAATGCCCAGTGCAGAGCCCTGCAAGAGAAGTTTAAAAAGCAAATTGTGGAATAAGTGAAGTATGTCAGTGACTTTTCACTTCCTTTTTCGTTATTCTTTCTACCTGCTTATGAAACCACCATGACTTCAGAGACCAGGGCCCTCTGATAGCCCCTGAAAGCCCAGGGCTCCCAGCCAGACCTGACCCTCCTGTGCTTTGGACTTATCTTTGGGGACCATACGCCCTGAATTGTTTTCATTACATTTCATCTAATATTTCCCACAAATTTCAATAGGTTGTGATTCCTTCATTACATGCTTAATTACATGTTATTATTTTTAAAGATTTATTTATTTTAGGGCAGGGCAGAGGGAGAAGGAGAGAGGGAATCTCAAGTGGACTCTCCACTGAGAGTGGAGCCCCAGCCAGGCTCGATCTCACAACCCCGAGATCATGACCTGAGTCAAGACCAAGAGCCTAGACACTCAACCAACTGAGCCACCCAGGCGCCCCTTAATTAAATGTTACCTTTATATCTTTGTGAGAGCTTGCACATGATGTAATTAACAAAATCAGAAAAAGAAAATCCTTGCTTGAACCATACAGCCTGAGTTTTGCTTCTAAAAATACAAATGCTGTATCTACCCAAACCAGCTCTGGTTTAGTTGGAAGTGATCTGACATGGATCCACACTGAGGTGCTATGTAAAAGCTGAATAAATAGCCCTTTCCAGAAGAATGGACAGTGCAACACATTTGGCCTTAACCCGCAGACGTTGCCTCTCTTCCCTCTTTTGCTCATCTTGCTAATCAGTTGTGGGAGCCCTTTCCTACTTTAATATCATTTCGACGGAGTGATTTAGACAACTGCTATTAGTCGACTGGTATCGGCATGTGATATATAATCTGCTTACCATCTAATTCAAAGGAAAGGAACTCCAGTGGTGGAATGGAAGGCCCCAACAAGGAGCCAGATTCATAGGTAGCCCCCAACAGGGGGCAGTTTAGTCACGTCAGTAAAATATGATTAATATTGACCTTACAGACCAAGATCAAAGCTGATCCAGTAAAGAGGATTTATTTGCATGCATAGAGTCCAGAACTACTTCTTCATGTAAAAGCACCCAATACAATTAAGCTAGAAATCCACATTTTAAAGTAGAGATCCTCATTTAGTTCTGGACTCTTGTGAAGTCACACCTAGACGCTTCCATCTCATCCTGTCCTTTTTTTTTTTTTTAAGATTTTATTTATTTGAGAAAGAGAGAGTGAGCGAGCGAGAGAGAGAACACAAACTGGGGGTAGAGGGAGAAGCAGACGCCCCACTGAGCAGGGAGCCCGATGCGGGGCTCGACCCCAGGACCCTGGGCTCATGACCTGAGCCGAAGGCAGAAGCTTAACCGACAGAGCCACCCAGGCACCCCATCCTGTCCTTTCTTGACACCTCAGGGCTGTCACTTCTGCTGCCGCACAATCACAAGCCCTGCCAATCAGGCTGCCCACGTTTTTGCATGTCTGCAAAATAACGATGTCAATAAATAAAAGTGGGAGATTTTTGCCATCTGTTTGTCTTTCAACTGATCCTGAAAGTTAGCTGTCTTTCTCCCATTCTTCTGCTTCAAAGAATAAAAAGGTTCAAATCATAAAAATAGGAAGAATTTTTAGAAGTACTACCCCTTCCTCATTTTGCCTGCCAAGTTTCAATTCAGTGCAGGTGCTGATAGATGTTTACAGGCAAATAAAATAAGTCATTTCCATGTTGCAGAGCAAGGATGCTCAGTGACCTGAGCCAGGGTTAGGACGTTGATTAGAGGCTCCAGTTTGAGGTCAGAGGCCAGTGCTTTTCTAAATCCCAGACTTCAGTTTGTTCTAGCTCATCTTTGTCATTGACCGAATCCTGCAAGAATGTCTGGGAATTAAATAAGTCAAAATGGACGCCTGCAATCTCAGGCCTGGCAAAGCTTCTATAGGCAACCACAGGTCCCCACCCAGTGATTGTTTATATTCCTCTTGCATCCTCCAGGATCCTGCTTACGCACCACTTTCTGTTGAGTAACGGTGTGTGGAGCCAAGTCAGGACCGGTAATGTTCCTCGTCTGCCTTCTTGGGTTGGTCCTGACGCTGGCCCCTGACAATGCCAGGCTCGGGAACTATTTGTTTCTGATTTCCAGCCAAGAAGTCTAACAATTCTCTCCCTTCCTTCCTATCGCCCTCTTCTTCCTTACCAATGCCAAGTCTGGGATTTTCCTTGTCTAGAGACCATACAGGCAAGGAAATGAACTTTCTTGGGATATGACAGACCACTGAACAGAAACGGTGCCCTTTGTTCTCATTCGAATGCTTTTTCCTTAAATGACATTTCTCTCTAAGGCTTTTGCAGATGTATCTGCACTAGCTCCTTAATTTCTACCAGGTCCCTCTCAGAAGACTAAGAAGTAGTAGGTGTTGGAATTCTGATTTTTCTGATTGGGAAGCAAGAGCTCAGAAAGGAAGAATAATTTGCCCAGGGATTGAGTCAAGCAATTCTAGTAGTTGTGTCTACATCCATTCTTTAAACTTAAAAATCCTTCCTGGAGTGGAGGGGTTTGGGGGGATGGAGTGGCTGGGTGATAGACATTGGGGAGGGTATGTGCTATGGTGAGTGCTGTGAATTGTGTAAGACTGATGAATCACAGACCTGTACCCCTGAAACAAATAGTACATTATATGTTAATAAAAAAAAAGAAAAAAAATAAACTTAAAAATCCTTTCTGAAACTTTAAAAATCCTTTTTGTTCCCAGCAACCGTGTCTAAGACAAAGGAAGCAAACCCTTATATTTACCTACAGAAAATAGAAAGAATCAGGTCTGGCTGTTGATCACTAGTTCCACCATGAGTCAGAAAATTTTATTTCTTTTGCACCCACACAGGGACAGCCCAGCCCAGATTATATTCCACAAGGACGTGGGTCCTATTTCCCGCTATTCACTAGGCACCTCACCCTGGGCAAGTCACTTCACTTCTCTGGACTTAACAGCTTCCTCATCTGTAACACAAGGTAGCTGGGATTCAGGGTCTCTTAGGTTTCTTTCCAGTTTTAGGAGTCAGCAACTAGGAAAATGAAGAGATAAAGGCATAAGGCAAACCCCTCTGTAAAAAGCCAGCAAAACATCTATATGCAACACTTCAATCTCTAGTAAATAAGAATTTGTATACTTTGGCTCAGCAATTTCACTCTTGGGACTTTATCCAAAGAAGCAATCAGAGATGTGCTTCAATTTGCAAGGATGACTGTCATGGTGTTTGTGTTTAATAAACTTTTAATTTTAGGATAGTTTTAGATATACAGGGAAGTTGCAAAGATGGTACGGAGTTCCTCTGTACTCCATCCATCCTCCCTCCTCATTTCCTTCACTGTTTAACAACTGATACTAGTATATTATATCCATCACAACAAATGAACCAGTATTGATACATTTTATTAACAAACACCTATCCTGTATTCATATTTCCTTACTTTTTTAAAAAAGATTTTATTTATTTATTTGACAGAAAGATAGAGATAGAGCATAAGCAGGCAGAGCAGCCGGCAGAGGGAAAGGGAGAAGTAGACTCCCCGCTGAGCAGGGAGCCCAACGCGGGGCTTGATCCCAGGACCCTGGGATCGTGACCTGAGCCAAAGGCAGTCGCTTAACTGACTGAACCACCCAGGTGCCCCATATTTCCTTACTTTTAACCTACTGTTCTTCTTCTGTCCCAGGATTCTATCCGGAACATCGGTTACATTTAGTTGTCATCTCCCTAGGTTCCTCAAGACTGTGAGAGTTTGCCAGATTTTCCTTGGGGTGTTTTATTATTTTTTTTAAAGATTTTATTTTTAGGTAATCTCTACACCCAACATGGGGCTCGAATTCACAACCCTGAGATTAAGAGTCACATGCTCTTACCAACTGAGCCAGCCAGGCGCCCCAGAGTTTCCTTATTTTTGAGGACCTTGACAGTTCTGAGGAACACTGGGCAAGTATTTTGGAGACCCTCTTGATTTTTTAAGAAAATCATGATTAAACTGGGGTTATTCGATCTTGGCAGGAAAACCACAGCTCTAAGGTACCAGTCCCGTCACATCATATCAGGGGTAAAGCTGTCTACATGAGCTTTCACCCATGATGTTAAGCTTAATCACACAGCAGAGGTAGTGTTTGCCAGATTTCGCTGTGCTATTTTCTTTTTTTTTTTTTAAAGATTCTATTTATTTGACAGAGAGAGACACAGCGAGAGAGGGAACACAAGCAGCGGGAGTGGGAGAGGGAGAAGCAGGCTTCCCGCGAGAGCAGGGAGCCCGATGCGGGGCTCGATCCCAGGACCCTGGGAGCATGACCCGAGTCGAAGGCAGACGCTTACCGACTGAGCCACCCAGGCGCCCCATCGCTGTGCTATTTTCTTTCTTCTTTTTTTTTTTAAAGATTTTATTTATTTATTTGACAGCGAGAGGCGGAACACAAGCAGGGGGAGTGGGGGAGGGAGAAGCAGGCTTCCTGCCGAGCAGGGAGCCCGATGCGGGGCTTGATCCCAGGATTTTATTTATTATTTGACAGCGAGAGGCGGAACACAAGCAGGGGGAGTGGGGGAGGGAGAAGCAGGCTTCCTGCCGAGCAGGGAGCCCGATGCGATCATGACCTGAGCCGAAGGCAGATGCTTAACGACTGAGCCACCCAGGCGCCCCGTTGTGCTATTTTCTAATAACAAAAGTTCTCAAATAAGCTACACGTCCATAATGGGACTGTATACTCCATCAGGGCAGGAATTTTGCCTGTTACACTCACAACTGTGCACCCAGTGCCAAGCAGAGTTCTGACACATAGTGGGTGTTCAATGAATAGAATTTGTTGGATGAAAAGGAGATTGGTTACATAAATTAATCTATATAATTTGGTGGAGGGGGTGCCTGGATGGCGCAGTCAGTTGAGCGTCAGACTCTTGGTTCCGGCTCAGGTCGAATCTCAGGGTCCTGAGATTGGGCCCCGGGTCTGGCTCTGTGCTCAGCGTGGAGTCTGCTTGAGTTTCTCTGTCTTTCTCCCTCTGCCCCTCATGCTTGTGCTCTCTTTCTCTCTAAAATAAATAAATCTTAAAAATAATATGATGGGATACTAGTGGTCATCCTAGATATTTGGTGACATGGAAAAAAATCAATGTTCTATTCAGTGAACAAAACAGATCAAAAGGTAATTTGTAATCCTATTTTCTATAAAGTTTGTGTGTTCGTGTTCGTGTGTGTGTGTGTGCGTATCCCTTTGTGTGTGTGTAGAAAAAGAACTAGAAGGTTGTCAAAATGTTAAAGTGGTCAGTGGCTATTGCGGGGTAGAAGGATTACAGGGGATTTTAATTTTCATCTTTGTTCAGTAACGATAAGAATGAATTACTTTTGGGCGCCTGGGTGGCTCAGGTCATGATCCTGGAGTCCCGGGATCGAGTCCCGCATCGGGCTCCCTGCTGGGCAGGGAGTCTGCTTCTCCCTCTGACCCTCCTCCCTCTCATGTTCTCTGTCTCTCATTCTCTCTCTCTCAAATAAATAAATAAATAAAATCTTTAAAAAAAAAAAAGAATGAATTACTTTTGAAATCAGAGGAAAAAAAACAATACAAATGGAGAGAAGTTTTGACCTTCAAGAAGGTTCTCGAGCAAGAAAAACAGATGTTTCAATACAATGCCTGGCAACCACATTATTTAGCCATCTATTAGTATCTGTGAAGGAACTGAAATCAGTGATGCGGTGCATAGAGGGTGTTGTCCTCAAAATTCTGCAGTTTCTAGGAAACAGGGTACACTAGGCACCATCTGTTTCTTATTTAGGGCATTAGATTCGCAAGATCATGAGCTGTATCTTTGTTACTCTCATAACAAATTGTTTAAAGTTAAAAAAAAAAAAGTAAAGAGCAAAACCAATCGCACAGGATGCCAGAGTGAATGGCATTATTGTATCGTTCGCTTTCTCCTCCCTGGGGCTTTGCATTTTAAAAACACATGTTGTGGTTTTTCTATGATTATCTTCCCACTTCCTGTGTTGTATCTCTCTTACTGTAAATATCCTTTTGTATAGTCATGCTTTTCTTTCTCTGTGTCTTGCATGTGTGCCTTTAATACTCATGAACTTCTCCAAACTTCCACTGTATATTTTTCCTAATATTAATTTGTGTGGGTCCAAGAGTATTTTTAGAGATTTTTTTAGAACCTTGATTTCAAATTCTAGTTCCATCTTCTATGAGCTGTGTGATCTGCGCAAAGTTGCTCCACCTCTCTGAGTTTCCCTCTCAGAAAATGAGGACGGTATTCTGTACTCACTCAGAGTATTCCAAGATTTAATGTAAGTAAGTGTAGGATCCATCCTAGTGCCAGTCACAAACGAGACACTTAACCTGTGACATCTTTTACTTCTTTCTCCCTTCCATACATACTCTGTACTGTGTCTCATGCTATCTTTCTAAAATGCCAATAACATATTAAAGGATCAAGTCTAACCTTAGGTTTTTCAAGGGTCCTCTTTAAATGAGCCCCATAATGTGTATATACAATGTATATACACATTATGCTCCAGCCACACCAAATTACTAGCTGTTGCCTAAACACACGTTACTCTTTCTTCTCTTCATGTTGTTAAGCGTGGTGTTTTCCATGTCTGAAAGTCCTTTGTGTTCCTTTCACAACTTTCTTTGTGAAGCCTTCTCTGACAGCTTGAGGGCCCCCATACTCCCCTCTGACCATAGTAACTTGTTCAGACCTTTATTCATGCAATTCCTTATACAAGTGTCTACATCATTCACTTATTTATTCGACAAATAGTTATCCAGCTCTTACTATGCACCAGGCACTGGAATGTATCCTCTAGTTAATTGTGGATTCCATAAAGGCCTGGGGTCTTGTCTTATCCACCCCCTCTCAACACCGTGTTTAGCAGAGGAGTAAAGCAAATACTCAAAGTCTGTTTGTTCAATATTGCATAAAATTCCTGCATTTCTTTTTCAATAATCAAACTGAAAATCATGCTACCAAGTATTTCCTCATTTGCCCTTTAAAGACAAAGATAAAAGACACATATTTTCTTTTACATGTAACATATTGTTATGCTTATTAACAATTCCAGGGGGCTCAGAAATATTCCTTTGCTTTGAGTGTTCTCCATCTGGAAGAGTTTAGCTAATTAAACCAAAGATCGCGGATGAGTTGGCCCCATTTATCTCCAATGGATGAAATCCTTTTCTCTCCAGAGGATTCTTCAGACAAATATCAAGGGTCAGTGTTATTTTTAGTAACATATATTTTTGAAAGTCTTAACTTTTTTTCAATTTCTAAGTTTGGTAACATACTTTTGAAACTCTTTTTATTTGCTGTTGTTGTTGTTGTTAAATTAAATTTATTAGCATATCTTCGCCTATACAGAAGCATTTGTCTCAACTCTAGATGATATTGAATTACCATACTGGAGATTAAGGTAGTCATTAGTCTGCAAAAGAAGTTAGAAAAAAATGCTTTCTTTCTCC